AAACACACTGTCCCATCCTCACTTTACCGACACTCCGGAGAAACACACTGTCCCATCCCTACTTTACCGACACTCAGGAGAAACACACTGTCCCCATCTTCTCTTTACCTAGGAGAACATAATCTGAACTACCGCCCCATTTCTTCAAGCTTCAATGGACCAAGTTTCACACACATGCACAACAACAGATATGATTATAGACTTAATATGTATAGAAAATAACAGACGGAAAAGCGCAAGATTCTGAATCATCATCATTCAGCATCGATCTGCGGTACTTAGGGGTTTCCTGGCCTACAAGAAACAAACTCTTGACGTACCACACATTATGTCCATCAGCTGACGCACAGGATCTTATTAGAATTTTGAGGTTCCTTCCACTTTTCCAGAACACTTGTTCGCAAGAAATCTACTCGACCAACGTTTTTCCAGTAGCTTCTTCATCCGTGTTCATAACTTTCAAAAAGAGGAAGCATACCATATTCTTCGCTTGCCTGATGCTGTATCCAGAACTAACCTTATTCATCAAAGCCAGTTGACCTCAGTATTAAATTATGAGATCAAAATCATTTCTATATTTTCCGACCATTGTTCATAAACAAAATCTGAAAACACGCTGATTCACTCTTCTCATTTTCGCAGTGCGAGTTTATTTTCTAAAAACGTAACACACATTGTACGCATTGTTCTTACGGGATGAATCCCAAAACCGTTACCTTGTGTTACATAAAACAGGTGAAACCTAAGATTTGAGGTTTTTGCGGCTATAAAAATCCATAGTGTGGCCTTCCAGGTAATGGCCCCATAGAATGTAGTGTGTGTGTATTGAAGTTTCGAAGAAATATAAAGCCTCCGTTTTCAGAATAACCATCTATCAGACTGTGTTCTGCCGTAATGTGGAAAACCAGATACTCGTATGAGAGTTCAGACCTCTTTCTCCAATATTATTTATGGCAGCCCTAGAAGCACAATGAATTTGAATAATATGCGCCCCGTCAATGTTGAGAGAACGAAAAATCCCGATATACGAGTATTCAAGCGTTTAGAATTTTTTTTGCCAATATTCAATCTGTGGAAAGTGTACAATGAAATGTATACTTGTACAACATATGATGTAATGTAGTGGATGTTTGGAAAATATAATATACTGTATATAGGAAGGGGCCTTAGCTGTTTCGTGATTTTTCTCTCTCCTTTAGCAAGTGTCAAGCACTTGCACATAAGCTTCGCAAGTCATACAGTCTAATAAAATCTTTGATACCAGATTTTGTACATATATTCAATTAAAGTGTTCTTTTTAACCAGAAATGCCTATTTTAGTCTTCAATATTAATTAATTCGTGGACTTAAGGCTTAAACAAACATTCAGAGTGGCCCAAAAGTCAGTTAACCTAAAACATTCTCTCGTATTAACGGTAATGTTCAGATTTAAACCTGAAAGTCAATTTGTAGAATGATGTCACAGCGTTTAAGTTGTGCATTAAACATGGAGATCTCATTATGATTTACTTAATGCAGGAAGTAATAAAGAAATTTCAAACGTACTTCAGTGTGCATTTGACTAACTAGTTAACTGAGTTTGGGCCAACCACTGTGTGTACCAAGCAGACAGGGCTGTAACTTTTAGTCCCTTGGAAGACAGACAAATTATTGAATTCAATAACTGACAATACATTTCCAGAATGTATTCTTCCTGGACTTCACTGCGAATCAAATTTTTACTGTAATATTTAAATAATAAATGTAACGAGATAAAGTGTCAGGTCTACATAAATTTATGTGTCCTCAGGTACGCTGATGACCTGAACACTATATTGAGTCCGCTAATGTTCATGGAGCTCCTCACTGCATCGCTGATTATGTGTATGTTGGGATTCCAACTAATTCTGGTAAGTAATTTTAATTTTGAACAAAGTTTTTAGAACTTTAAGTATTTCTACAACCAGAAAGGCTGCTGTGACTGATAGATGGAACATTGTGTAATTGGCAATACACGTGTAATTGATATGACAACTGTTGTGATAGTGGTTTCTAAAAAGTGTTTGGTGCCTCTGAAGATGATCCAAATGGATCGAAACATGTAAGGCTAGTGAATCATAAAGTGAGAAAACGGAAATAGTCACACTGGACGGACTTGTCTTTTATAATTTATAATTGTCTGGTAAGTTTCATATGAAGAAGTTTCTTTACTGAGCAGTGCTTCAATGAATGCATGAATTGTTAAATGAACAAATGATTTTATTTTTTCACGAATGAGATTCGGACTTTGTGAGCTCATGAGATTTATTTAATAGCAATCCAGTTCACAGATTATCTTCTACTTCACGCAGATGCCACCGAATATCAAGTTTTTCCAAATGTTGACTCATCTCTTCACTGCTGTGTTTGAACTGGGGCTTTTCTGCTGGTTTGGTTCCAGTCTCATTACAGAGGTGTGTATGTATATACATATTCTTAAGGAACACCATCACCACGTATGGCCTTTCTAAGTAGGATAGTTTCACGGTTGTTATATTTTCATTTAGAAATTATTTTAATGTCTGCTGCTCATGTCTCGGTTTTTTTTCTCTCTCACAAATTTAGTACTCAATATCTATCTACGACTTCCGCACAGATGTTACGAACCTGATGGCGTCAAAACAAAATTATTTTGTATGTAAGAAACTTTCAGATCGTGTAACAAGCAGAGTGTTGGCTTGACATTCGGGGTAATATCAAGTACTCTCCGAATATTGCATCCCTTAGAATGTTACATTAAAAACAAACAGATCGATCCTGAGCACATGGTTTCGCCTTATGTACAAGGATTAATACTCGAAACGAAACTGAACATACCTTACCTGACAGAGCAACTTAATCTAGCCAAGAATAATATGATTCATTTAAACCTAGCCTATTAAATAATCGGAAAATCAGTCACGTAAGAAGCCCTTATAGACTCCGAAATGTAGCAGTGACAAGATGCTTTTGCACATATGTTCAGAATGACGGAATTCTACAATCCATTTCTGATGTAATACGAAAATTGGGGCGCAACTCAGAGATAACATCTCTGACCACCAACTTCACGCCGATATACTGACAAAACAGGATATGATTATGAAAATCTTATAGGCTATGAAAAAACCAGAATATGAAGGCTCACAAACACGAATGTATTCCCAAACCCGATAATGAATACGACGGGGGGCTTTGATAAGAAACCGACGCTAAATCAGGTTCAGCGCCCAAGGTAACGGTGACGTAAGTTAAGCCGAAATATTTTCAGAAACGAATGCATTTAAGGCAATTTAACATTATAATTACTTATATTCTTAACTGTTCAAGTTGTCAGCATATGATTCCTATCATCTTATAAAAGCGTTTCGTTAGAAGTTGCATTGATTTTATAATTTCAACTCAAAAGAAATTTCGTGAAGCAAAGTATTTCATGGACCTTCCTCACAAAAAATTCGCGAGTCGTCGTGTTACATTATCATGCTAAATAAAAATTACCTTAAGAATTTGGTGTTCTGTTAAAAGAAAGGCAGTATCTCACGCTTTTTAGCAGCCTGCATTTCATAGCAAAATGTAGATCCAGCGTCAAGATTTCGTACTTCTGCCATGGAATTTAGTAAGACCTATAAAGTGCTTGAGAAAATTGGTTATGGAGTGAAGTGACTTTCGTTATTGCAATATCAGTAAAGAATGCATTTATGACCGGAACATTCATAAAACTACAAAGGTTGTTTGCGAATAAATATACCGGTACAGTGTCAGTCGCCTAATAGACTATCTTCCTCTCCGAACTTAAAGTCATAAAAATGTCAAGTTCACATTTAATAAACATTCCATGAAGCACACCATACAGATTTAAGAATCTTGTAAATCACATTTGTGATTAAAATAAACAATCAGCTAATTTATTAATAAAATATGGAAGTAAGTTATGATGCTACTTCATATATGGTACGATCTCTGTATTACAAGATATTACCTTTCTTTGAGAAAGCGTTCTGAATTGACAAGCTGAGGACATGATTGCAGAGCGAAGAGTTGCACAACGCAGCATATGAGAGCGGATGGTACAACATGTCACCGGACGTGAAGCGGCAAGTACAGATGATCATCATGCGGGCACAGAAACCTGTCGCCCTCAGAACAGGGCAGTTCGGACTCTTGTCCATGCCACTGTTTGCAGAGGTAATGCTCCTTAAGTAGAATATTATGCCCGTTTGTGATATGGGGACTCCGGCATAGAATGAGAAACTGAAATCGCGTTAACAAGAAATCGGAAAGCTAAAAGGAATCGTAGGAGTGTTCCGGACGCAATTAAGCCAGTGGCAGACACGACTGGAAAGGGTGTATTCCATAATTTGTATATGAAATACCCAACGGGGTTCTTTGCAGTTTAGTAAGCTTATTTTCGGTAGCTTTACAAATGGCATATCAGCAAGATACAAAATATGAAAGTAGCAAAATTCACATTTAAATAGCACAATGCAGAACATCAAATTACAGCAGAATCTGTCAAATGGTTTACGGGATTCAGTCCTAGAAATCTAAAAATCGAAAGCAATTGTCTAATGGCATACAAATGCTTCTCACACAGAACTTAACGAAACACTGGTTAAAGGTTTATGTTATACAATAACAGGTTTATCTATGACTCCCACAATGTAGTCTTTATAACTGGTCAGTACCGGTCAGTACTGATACAAATCAAAGTGGCTGATTAACGTCATGTATGGATCTCATATGGAATCCCACGATTTAATTAACAGGAAACAGTTTGTTCATGACCCTGCACAGACTTTGTAGCCAGATAATCTGACGTTATCCACTGAATTTCAGTGAACTATGATTAACTATTATGATATATGTGAAAAGTTCATTCATGCATATTTATGTTAATTATGCACTGCAATTAGCCAGTCTGACTAAAAGAATCAAAGTGACCACCTAACTTTGAACACAAAACTATCATATCCATTTTCATAAAAATATGATTAACAGTTCATGGTAACAGTTCATTTATGATCTTATGTAAAGTAGGTTTTGTTATGGATCAAAACTGGAATTGCATGACCTTTTAGAGGTCTTGAATATCGAATTTTAAACATATTTGTCCAACGGTTTAAGAGCTGATACTGGGTCACATGTAGACATGACCTCCACATACAGCGGTCCGTTATACTTTGTAAATAAAAATCGTTATATTCCTCTGCTCTCGACTAAATTTGTCAGTAGCTTTTCATGATTGCACTCTTCTGCAACATGAACAGTGTTTAAAAAGGTTATCGAATTGTATATTGAGAGGATCCAGACCTATGTATGCTACGTTTGCATAATGAAGCCTAGAAGCAACATAGTATGTTGGATATCATTATGGCAGCCATTCCCATACTAACCTATAATTTGTGCTTACAATTTTGTCCAGTTCATTTTCTTGTAACGTGTCATTAATCAAAAACAGGATGTAGGAAAAGTCGATTTTATTCCCAAATAATATTAAGCTGTAACTATGAGATGATTAACTTTCAATTTGCTTTCTAGTAAATAATGATTAAAATGAGCAGTTTCTTCACATGAAAAATGCTAAACAGCTTTAAGACTTAAATTAGCCTCCATAGGTCGCCTGGCAGGCTCTTGCGAATAGGATAGCGAGATCCATAAAAGGTGGGGGACTTATTTGCTACCTAAACATCTATTAGCTGCTTAAGAAGGGCTGAGTTCGGTGGAGTTACGGGTTTTGATTTCATGAATAATAAATTAGTACTTAGGTTCTACACTTTTCAATTCAATATACGTTACCTATCCCTGCACAAATCAATTAATGAATCGCCTATATTTAATGTATTTGAATACATGTACTAATCAAGTTCAGTAACACAAGAAGAGTTCCAATATTGACAACTTACTGAAGATTTAAATCATTTTACAGCTAATGAAAGCGTCCTATACATACTTGACCATGCTGAAACAACTCCAAGAAGGATAAAGGAAAGCTGATACCTGAGAGCAGTATATATTACAATGGCTCCTAACATTTTCAGTTTCTTGAGTACCAGGACTTCATTCTGCTCCTCTACGGTAAACTTGAGAAAATCTTAATTTCTTGTCACTAATCAATCTAGGAACAACATCAGTAATGGAAAATACATGTTATGTTACAGTCTGCAAAACTTAAAAAACAGAAATTTGATCAAATTCTTTATTTGCTTATGTAAATAAAATATTTTTGGTTTTATGTGCATATGTAAAACTTTCCCAATATGCAAAATTTTTTAGGAAATATGCTGAAAAACACCTGAGACAGCCCTCCATATTACATTCTGAGTTACAACTGTGATCTGTTTGTTACACATCATTAACTGACAACTCACACAATTCCAGATACATCTGTAAGTTACAAATAAGTTTTCATCATGTTTTTGTTAATTGTTTAAATTTTGTTCTGATATACACTCTCCTGAATACTTGATCCTGACCAAAGGAGATGTAAACTGCCTTTTTATTTTTCAAAAAGAGGTGCTGTATAAAGAAAAGTAAGACAGCAGTAGAAAAGTTACAATGAAAACTTGCATTCAAATCTTAATCGCATAAATGATCAATATAACCAGAACTACCCAGCTGAAATACATTGGGAATATTATTAGGATGGATAATGTAGATCTTGTAAAAAGTGGTGTTTAATAAGCCCAAAATTATAGCAGTTATCCCTGCAATGTCCTTACCAATCTGCATGTCCACTAAGGAGATCACTACAGACATAAAATACAGAGTCAGCAAGAAATTAGCATATAATGTATATATTACCCATGCACTGAAAAGGATATTATTACAAAGAAAATACAAAATATAAAACTGTCCACTGTATATCAGACACTGAAAAAACCAAGTCTCAAACCAGATCCACATAAGGAAAAATATGCACACTAATCACAAGACAAACTTTCAAGAAGAGCATTTATTTTTCCTGTAATGTACAAATCTGTAAATACAGAACAGAGAATAAATAAATAAAAAATGTACTGAAATGTACCAGCTGAATATGAAGTGTACATTCTCGTTCTGAAACATCATTCAATTACAATTACAATGGACAATGTTCCAAACTACACACACACAGTTTTACTCAATAAAAGTAATAAAACGGAACTGATACTATCTGCTAAGAAATATAATTTCAGTTCATCCTCAGAACAAGCTGGCTTCACAGATGTGTGCTACTATTACATGTGTCATTTTGTACTAATGCTGCAGTCCAGTCACTCCATTTACACCCTATCCCATGTGATAGAGACGTCATGTGAAGGGGCATGTGGTCCCATTTATAAGACACTGTACAATCCATTCTGTAGACACAAGATGTTTTCCCGCTTCCCTTAACTGTTCCTGAATATCAACTGGACAAGAACGGTTGGAGACCACCACTTCTAGACCTCCTAATTCTTTTACACCTGCAGGCAGAGAAAAAGACTCTTGTTATTCAGACTGGTGAGTCAGCTTTTGGTATCTATTAATCATAAACGGCTCTAAATATATGACGCTTGTTCAAAGGAAACCTGTTTGAGGACTGTTCTGAGCAAAGGAGTACTGTTAAAAACAATCCTCATGGGCAATGAGGTAGGTATCCCACTGATTCATCAGCTAACGAATCTCCTGGGATGCTGCTGGAATCACTGCATCACTGTGGTGTTAGTATTTCATTCAGTCCAAATCTATGGCCCTTCTGAACTCCTTGAGGGGTCTGAACATGCAAATAGATTTTTTTTGAACCAGTATCATAGTATACATTAGGTATAAATTAAATATCTACTTATAACCTTTATGCTTCCAAGCACTGAAACAAGTATGGTGATCTTACATGTTACTAGGATCAGGACTTTTTAATTCTGAAAACATGAGAACACTATGTAAGAAAAGTTTTCTATCATGGTATCAATATTAATTATTTTGATGTACTTCAAGTACTCAGAAATTACTGAGGAATCATCTTCAATTGTGAAATCTCTCAAGACCCATGCTGTTTTGTGTACCCGAGTTTCAAATAGACTCTCTGCAATGTTTATTTCTCGTTAACAATTAGAAATTGCAATGACAGAAAGAGAAAAATCAAAAGTACAATGTCCTGGTCCATGGTGCTGAAACATTTTCTGTATTACCTACCTAACTAACTTCAAGGAGTTGAGCCCTTCTTGAGAAGCTGCCAGTTGTGCAGTCACTCAAGATCATTACAAAAACTTTATGGAACACTAAGGATCATTACCTTGTTCATAAGAGCTCTCCACTGGTTCCTATCCTGGGCCAGATCAATCCAGTCCATATTGCTCCACCTTACCTCTCTTAAGATCCATTTTTATATTATCTACCCACCTACATCTTGGTCTTCCTAGTGGTCCCTTTCCTTCTGGCTTTCCCACTACACTTTCTGTACAGCCATATCAAGTAAATGGAAGGTTTAACTATATAAAGATGTGTAATTGATCATACATCAAAAGGTAAATGTGCAAAAAGTTTGGGATTACTGAGTTTTTGGACTTTGCCAATTGTCTGGTATACTAAAGAACACATCACTTCAGAAATTGGAACTATTTCCATCCTCAGAGGAGGGGGTGGAAGACAATGAACAAAGTCCCCAAGAACCCAGTAATCCCAAGTGTTATACACCATCATCAAAACCCTTCAGAATCCATGTACAAGAAGTTATGAGTATGGAATGAACACACATTCAGCAAAACAATTTCATAATTCAATGCTTTCTAACAAACAAAATAATCATTACACACAAATAAATCAAATAACAGGTACTCTCCTGCTTACTTCATTTCAATCTGCAATGTTTTGCTGTAAACATCACTGGCAGAGAAATCATCTTTCTGAGCGACAAGTGCTGCCAACTGAGTAACTCCCCCCCTACATCATGCCATCATATGTAGAAATGCATCAGTGACAAACTGGAGACTACTATGAAAGCTCAGTTAATAAGCTTGATGACCAGGATTCAATTTCTGGCAGTAGCATGAACTTATGTGCCAATGCACCAAAACTGAGGACTCTCTCCCTGGGTGTAAAGCAGCTTGAGTATGAAGCTAACCACTGCACATCTTCATTGCATGGCTCTTAATTCAACACGTGGACAATTTTATCTTACAGGTGTAACAACCCAAGAACAGTGAAAAGTACAGAACTTACTTGTTTCCTGAGTAATACCAAACACACTTGCACCTGCTCCTTTTAACACTAGTTCCCAGAACTTCAGAAAATATTTTGTATCACTGACTACTCCAATTTTCATAGAAAGCAATGGATGCCTCTTCACTTTTGTAATGAAATCTCGTTTTTCTAGTGACCAACCAGCTGGCAGAAGATGATTTGTAACTGGTTTACAAATGTTCTCCTGCAAATATATTGGAAAAGACAAACTGTGGAATGACTTTCACTATTCTTCTTACCTCAGTCACACTAACACAAAACACTACATTTATATTCCTTTATGGAGGTTAGATCAAGAAATCTCAGACCAATCATGTGAACTGCCTCTCAAGTGGAAGGTAATCACAGTGTGATAACTTAATTTGTTTTCTAGTTGTATCTGAAGAGTGACAGTGACCCACATGAACAAATAGCAAAGCATATTATTATTAACCCAGCTGCATTCATAAATGTGTTAATTCATGTAGCCCATCACCTACAGCTGTCAAAAGAACTACTCGTATGTTAAATAATGCAGCCCACTACTAGTGTTAACTATTCATATTTCTGAAAACTACAATTCAATATAAATCTTTCTTTCAACTTTAACTGTACAAACCTCTGCCATTACAAATGCAGCAATTTATTTTTCTGCACTTTTTATAACCAAAAATGTTAACACTTAAGGCACTAACAATCAAGTTCCTTCCGTCAAATGTGACACTTTTATAAGTTTTCCACCTCGTCACCACCTGCCTTACATGTTTCGGCTCACCACGGAGCCATCATCAGANATTCTTTTCTTTAACATTTAGTTTATTCTTATGTGATAGTTTTCTTGATGCTCATGGTCTGTGAATGAACATGCATGCAGACACAGCATTTTGGAGGCTATATCTGCCTTCATCTGCATTTCCCTAATGAGCTTGTGAGAATGTGTTCACTCTTCTTCTCTGAAGAAGTAGATAGCTCTAAAGCATGTGTGTACGCACATGTGTATGTGTGTATGTATGCATGCGACATTATCCTAAGAAAATTATATACTTCACTGCTATAAACATGTAGAACTGTACATCCAATTATGTTTAAGTCTGTATTTTCAATATCAGGTACTGTAGTTGCTTGAGGCATTATACTACAAGCCAGAAGGTTGCAGGTTCGATTCCCGATGAGGTCACTGGTTATTTTCAATTTACTTAATCCTTCCAGCTGCACTATGGTCCTTGGGTCGACTTTGCCTCTAACAGAAATGAGTACCAGCAATCTTCCTGGAGGGGGGTAAAGGGCAGCCAACGCATAAGGCTGACAACCTCACTGCCATCTGTGAGCTGACTGTCTAGTGGAATCGACATCTCACAACCCTATAGGCTTCCACGGCCTATGAAAGGGACAGATTTACCTTCTTTTTCCAAAGCCACTTACCATACAGCATTCAATGATCCACGTATAAGAAACAATTTGAATTCCATAAGCAAGGCAGAGGATGTACTTTGCCGTTTGACTTGGTCTGTCAGTTATCAGATAGCATGAATCATACTTGTCTAATGGAATGTCTTCAAAACTATCACACAATTTTCCACTTCCAGCTGTTATTTGTTCAGTTAAGTATGATTTACTAAACACAATCTTATGGGAATCTTCATCATAGTCTGTACCCTGAGTATCCGTTCCTGAAAGAAAGTTTGAAAGAAGGAAGTCAATTCCAGAAGGGCATAGAAATTAAAATACAAGGAGAAATAATAAAACAGTATAAACTGCAGGCAATTCTGCATATGTGTTTAACTACATGTGAAAAATTAAATGACCTTGTTCCTTTTTTAACATAATAGTTATGAACCTTTTTCTTACTGAGATGATCATCTTTTATAAATTCTCTTGAAATAGATACACGTTCTTCTTTTGTCAAAAAAAATGTTGTTTGCTAGGACACAGTACTGTTAGGGTTTCAAAAATCACCCTTCATAACAAATTTTTGGTGTAATTTATTTACACATCTCCCTTCATCCAATGAACTAGGACTAAAAAAAGCAGACAGTTAAAATAAGCTTTTATCTGTTATATGACAAGACTCTCAAAACACCATTCAGAAATTAGAACACAATTTTGTTTTTGAATGTTCAATTACTTGAACACAGAATCTCTGAAGGTGTAAATGAAATGCTGGAATGGTCCTTAAAGAAATGTAGGCCACAGAAATTTGACACACACTTACTCAGCTGGGTTGTTTTGATATTTACTCATTATAACTCTGTCTGTATACAAATTTAAACAAAAGATTTTAGCAGAACTGTTGTGGGAAAATCTCTTTACTGCCATCTCATTAATGACCAAGAATATGGAAACATGAAATGATAGTGGATCATCATAAAATATCCTAGCAAGATATAATAAGATCAGCAAAACTTTATTATAGGAAATTATTAAGACATATGCATTGACTGAATGAAGCAAACCATCCATGGTGAAGTATATATGAGAAAAGAATGACATATGGCTTTTAGTGGCAGTTATTGCTTTAATTTTGTAGAAATTCAAACACTACACATATTAGACAGAAACCCTTTATCACTATGGTGTCAGTCTGAAATTGCAAACTCTCCAGTACTGCCAGACGACTTGGTCTGTGTTGTTGTTTTAGCTATGATCCATATAAATTACAAGATGATACTTTGTTTGTGTTTGCATTTGTCTCTCCAACTGAAACCTGCAGGTCTAATACCTTATACCTTATTCTTGTCTTGGTCCAATTAGATTATAATTAGTTTGTAACAAATAATAAGTTAGTTATGGTTACATAGTGCATTCAAGGAATAAACTAGCCATAGTTAATTGAAAACATGAATGATAATATTATGTAAAATATTTGGCAGAGTAATTAATCCTGCACTAAATCCACTTGCATGGTCAGCTACAGGGTGAATTTTCAAAATGAGGCTGCTTACATATTTACCTTAAAACATTTTTTTAAACAATTATGGGTAGTTGCTTAAACTGAAACATATGAATGCTCACTGTTTACATTTCTACACACTTTTCAGATACTTCAAATTAAAAATTAACAACTACCTAACTTCATACAGCAGAGCATGAGGGTTAACAGTCACTCAGCTGGTCAAGAAATTTCCTACCTTTATGAAAACTATTATTGAATCCACAAGAGCCTGCTAATTTACTGACATAATTCTTTCCTTTAGACAAAGTTATTTATTTTGGGCTGGCATTCTCATAAAATGAAGTCTCTGACAAAAAGAGCTAATAAAATATGACTACTACTAACGTTAGAAGTCTTACAGCAAATAAACTTCAATCATTATTAATTTTAATGTTGCAAATTATAGTTGTCAAACTAAACTGTTATCCCAAGATATAAAATAGTCATTAACCCACACACAGTACCAGACAGAAGCTAACCAGTCAGCAACATAATAATAATGTGTAATGGATGATGTAGATGAAGTATTTAACAGAATAAGGCCTACACATGCAAAAGTATCTACTGATGTGCATTACGTTCCTCTAAAATTTAAAAATATTTTTCGGTAATGGATATCCTTTAGGTGTTTGAGAACAGGGTGTTGAGGAGAATATTTGGACCAAAGAGAGATGAAATCACAGGAGGTTGGAGAAAATTGCATAATGAGGAGCTTCATAACTTGTACTCTTCTCCAAGTATAATTAGAATGATCATGGCGAGGAGGATGAGGTGGGCAGGTCATGTAGCACAAATGGGGGAGACGAATGCGTATAGGATATTGATGGGAAAGCCAGAAGGAAAGAGACCACAGGGAAGACCAAGGCATAGGTGGGTGGACAATATTAGAATGGATCTTAGAGAGATAAGATGGGATGGTATGGATTTGATAAATCTGGCTCAGGATAGGGACTAGTGGAGGGCTCTTGTGAACACGGTGATGAACCTTCGGGTTCCATAAAATGCTGGGAAATTCTTGAGTAGCTGCAGAATTGGCAGCTCCTCAAGAAGGGCTCAGCTCCATAAGTAAGTAAGTAAGTAAGTAAGTAACGGATATCCTTTATTTCACTGACTGAGCTCTTAGTGCTTTCTCTTCTAGATAACCAACTGAGTATATACTGATGATTTATATGTAGGAGTAAACAAATGATAACTTGCAGAGTGTGATTTGACCTGGATGCAGAGAACTGTGATGAAAATGACAGTGAGTCATGAATCAGTAGTGACCATGATTTAGTTTGCAGAAAGAGCACCTCTTAGCAAACAATGTGGTTCAATAAAGATAAATGTGAGGGTTTATATTAGTACAAGCATTTATAGACAGTATACGAGGGGGGACCCAAAAATAACCGGAACCAACCTGTTACGCGCGCATGCTTTGTAGTTACGAGTTGTGCTGCTAGGTGGTGTTAGCTGGGGGTCTCCCGCAANGCGTGAATGTTTGCCGCGACTTGAAGAGTGAAGTGCAGAACGATCCAGAATTTCTTAAAAGAATTGTGACTGGCGATGAGTCTTGGTGCTACGGGTAGCAAAATTTCACGCACACTCTTTGTTCCTTCTGGTCGGCCATCTCACTAATCGCCAAAGGGTTGAAACAGGAACGCACACAACAGAGCACCACAGACAAACCACTTAACTCAGACTGACGCAAGCTCACTAACGGTCGCGGGAGACCCCCAGCCAACACCACCTACCAGCACAACTCGTAACTACAAAGCATGCGCACGCAACAGGTCGGTTCCGGTTATTTTTGGGTCCCCCTTCGTACATTACAGTCTTCTCAGACAATCAGCTGTGTCAACGCGGTGTTGGTGTTTGACATCTCCGAAGTGTCAAAATAAACTCCTTGATTGCCTGAGAAGACTTAATTATAGTAATAACTGGTGACTGTGTATATGGTACTAAATGTTTTCCGGATATCCGTCCTTTCAATCATTAAGGTCTTTGGATTAGTTCTGGTGTTAAAGCATCTTATTGCTAGAAGCCATTTTTCCTAAAAAGCACCTAATTCCCCCCTCAAAAAAGGTTAAATTTCAGCACATACATGAAAGAATAAGTGAATCCTCCCCAACCCACTAACAACAACAAAACAGTCACAGTAGCCAATCTCCTGGCTGAGGAATAAACCAAAGACTCCTAATATGATGGCAGAATGCTGACAACTATGAAAAACACTTCATACAATGACAGTAGTAGCTGATGTATCTCTTACACCCAAGACTATTTCACAACATGGTATGTTAAAAGAGCGTGGAAACAAATGCGAGACAATTACCTTCTGAATCATCCCTACTTGTATACTTATGTTTCACATCGCTGCTTGATAACAGAAACAATTTTCCAGCAAAAATTTTGCTGCCCTCAGGAGGTATAGGACCTATCAAAGTACCTGAAATGAGAACTGAACAATGTCAATAACATCCTTACCAAAAACAGAAAGCTGCCTAAAGAAATGCAAATAGAAATAATGACATAATAGATTTTTTTAATATTTATTGGCATCCTTGCAAGGAATAGGATACGTAAATACCTTTAACTTTTAGGATTTATACCTACTGATAAAAATGAAAGACAACAATCTTTCAGCATTTTCAGTTAAAAGAAATGGGGTGTCTTGAATTCAACTACAAAAGTATACAAATGATTTATACACTTTAAGCTTTTAGAAGGTTGTCCTTTAGGAGGTATTATATGCCAACATTTGTGCAATATTACACCGTCAGTGTAGAAAGGAAGAGACGGAAATAAGTTTCAAATTGAGGAGCCATGAGATACAAGTCTGTCCAAAGTGCCACCAAAAGCAGTATGAGACAAAGAGACATATTTCAAGATCAGAAGCCATGCATAAACTCAAGTTTACATGAAAGTATGAGTGAGGTTATAAAATGAAAGCACTATTCACCAAGAAGATACATTATAGTACAGGATACGTGGCTCTTTAATTATGTAATGGTGAAACTGAGTCTACTTGGTACTGCGGCCACTACTGGCCTACGGTACCAGCCCCAGATGACAGAAGATAGTGATTGTGGATATTTTCTGTCAATCTCATAAAGTGGTACACTACACACAGATCACTATGGTGCCTTGATGCTTACACCAGTTCTTCCTAGGAGTCCTCCTACCCTGGCCTTTGACTTTCCGTAATTTGATTTCACGGCTCATGCTCTCTCGTTCCACACCATCAACATCCTCCATTGTAGAGCCAGTGTCACTTTCAGTCCTGTAAAATTACTAATTTTTCTGTACAACTGTCCAAACAATTCATGGTTCCATGTATTTTGTTCATTCAACCAACCACACAAATGACAAATATTCAGTTAAATGATGGGCCTTTGCAGTAACCTTGGTTGAAACTGTGGAAGGGTACTGGAACAGAAATTACTGGGAACGGGCCGTCTATTTTCACATTAGTTTGCATACTACTGTAATATTTAATAAACCAAACTCATCTGCGCAAATAAAAAATTATCTTTCCCATCAACATTTTTCACTGTGATGAGAATCATTTCATATCCAAAACTCTGGTATAAGATAATGGAAAGGTAAAGTAAACTTATCTCTGTGCTCAATCAATTAAGCACTACACCATAAAGATCTATGGGGGAGTACAAGTATAGATCCATGCATTCTTGACCTCAGCACTAGAGGTAAGCGGTCAGTTTCATGACCCAGCTGCTTTATCTCCAGAAAAAGAGCCCCTGGTACCTATTTGATAGGAAGCTGTGTGGGCCCCAGAGCTGGTTTGGATGCTACAGAGAAGAGAAAATCTGTTTCCCATACCAGGATTCAAACCCAAATTCCTCAGCCATCCAGCCTGCAGCCCATCATTACACCAAATGAACCATCCAAAGTCGTGATATAGTAAAATAAATATGGCAATAACACTTAAAACTTCATACATTACCTTTGCAGTAAGAAGAGCACTGTCCTCTGGGATATAACATCATGTCATCGGCTGAAAGTCAGCTGATGTTTTGGAGGAACACATGGCCTCCATCTTCTGGGTAGAACAATAACCTGCTCAAGAAACCTGCATGAAGCGAGGTGGCAAGCAGATCTCAACCTTAAAAATGGAGGCAATATGTTCTTCCAAATTGTTGACTGACTTTCAACATACTATATGGCATTTTGCCCCTTCATAACTACTACTGTGAGAACCTCAAATCCTGCTTATACAGTAAATTTATCCCATGTTATTTTAATATCTGAATAACAAAATTAACAGTCCATAATGTGTATATATTAACCATCTTTTAGTGCATACAATTTCACTTGTCACTTCACACTACATGTTTTGGCATCATTCTGCCATCCTCAGGTGTATTAATTATGTTAAACCACTGCACTGCCTGAAATCAAGTGTCCATTTATAAAATGATATAAAATGTGTGTTTGTCGTTGTTCAATAATAAAATTTATATATTAAAACTTGTTAAGATCTATCATCTTACATGTCATATATCAAACTTGTGTGTAATGCCATTCAACCACTATGGGAGTTGTCATTCTTATGTTTTAATTATGTATATACTGTGTCTTATGATGTGTCTTTCTTACGTGGCTGCGCGCCACTTGTGGATGGCAGAATGATGCCGAAACATGTAGTGTGAAGTGACAAGTGAAACTGTATGCACTAAAAGATGGTTAATATATACACATTATGGATACAAATCAGTGCAACAGGATGCTAAAATACAACACTGGAAGGTGTACTTACAGTGAAGGGCTAGATACCTTCCTCCTAGCTGCAGTCTTTGATTCACCAGATATACCAGGTGAGTCAAATTTATTCTTCATCTCCCTGATGCCAATTCTGCTTCGTTTCCCTTCTAAAACATTGTCTAAAGAGTAAATAAGAAACTGAATTCAGAGGTTTGTCTAACACAAATACAATATGATTCCTGCAGAAATGGAGGAAAAATAAGCATAATTCACTAATATGGTCCATGACACAAAACTAATAATAGACATGTAAAATTAATGTAAAATTAGAAAAAGCATGTGTGTGTGAAAGAGTATGGGTGAGGATGGGGGGCTACAGCTATCCAGCAAGGAAAAGGAGCTCATTTCTGAGACTGAGCATCTCTGAAACATATGACATCGGCAAGAACTGGCACAGGATGACTGTGTTATGGTGGATGTAAATATCTGTTATATTACATAAAAGAGATTAAGTGGCCATGCTTGGGGGCAATAAGCTGTCTGGTCATAATTTTCCATCACACATACATTCATGGCAGAATTTCTAGAGTTGGTATGAGTGTTATTATATTCCTGAATATATGAAAAGTATGAAGATTATAAAATGTTTCCCAAGTAGTTTCAGTTAAGTTGAGACACTTAATTTGAACACAATTTATTCCAAATGTAATGCCATTTTCTGTCTATTCAAAACTTTTGACAAAAGTCTGAAACTTCTTTATTCCTAATCTCAGTTCTCCGTAATTTTTGGTAGGTACTGGAGAAATGCCGAATCATCCATGAGAAAGAAGCTGCCACTATAAGCAACTAAAACCAAACTCTTTACAAACATCTGTACTTTTCAACTGAATATCTTCATGCAAATACCTGTAACCTATTTAGTTACACTCATACAACTGCTCCAGGATTGAGACCAGAGCAAGAATATCTTGAAAAAGAGAGTTTTTTTTTACTGTTTTTAGCATGCATATTTTCTTTTGTNTTTTGCATTTCATGACAAAATACTCACAGTTGATTTTCATTTGTAAAACTTGCCCTTTTGTATATATGTAGAAAATTTTATTGTCTTTCAGGTTCTTTTTAGTTCATATTCCGATGTTGCATAGAACGGAAAATATGCATTTTTTTCTGAAAGTTTGCAATGTTAAAGACTTAGGGCCATTTAAATTCCGGCCGTAGGGAGCTGCAGGCAATTTAAAAGCCCGTACGTTAAAGGTTAAGGCATGTATTCACTGGCTGTAGGTTGTGCTATTTCTGTCATTAGGTGGATATGCCAACACAGTCTCTTTGTTGGCAGCTGTTGTCATTTTCATGAAAGTCATTATTTAGAACAACTTCTTGAACCCTACTGTGATATGTCTTTGATCATCAACATGATGTAAACAGACCTACCAGGTGAGCCACTGTTCTTGTATGAGCCTGCAACCTAGTAACAAAGGCTCTAATAAAAGAGCACCGGGCATCCCAACAAGAACAATCTTATGGACTCTGAAACTCTTATGAATATTTATAAACTGTTATGCTCATTCATAAACCATGGGAATCAGCACCAAACAAATCCACTTGAAACCACACCCAGTGCATAGTCACCATCATGTGACACTATACTATATCAATACCGGATAATGATTGGACTGAATATGGAACACTCACAGTACAGTAAAAAGAATAAAAGTGTCACATACAAATTATTCATATTTCGCAAATGTGTATCATGGTTTGCTACATAATGTGAATAAAATTTCTCACCACCAATGCCATAATTTGGTCAGAATCACTGCAATAAACAAAGTTATTCTCACCTAAACTGACATCTGCCTTATGATGAGGGCTTTTTGTAGGTACTGGTATAGACACACTCTCTCTCAGAATCTTGGCTTGGTCTTCAGTCATAAACAATGACGATCGAGGCACAGCTACAAAATTGCCATCATCCAGCTCCACAGAATACATAATATCAGTAGGTTTTCTGAAAATTAAGAACAGTAAATGCATACTTCATGCACTAGAATGAGAAGCAAGATGATAATGTCAAGTAATTTTCGATTCATGACCTCCATGCGGTAAGTCCTCACTTAACACTGTTTCATTATTACAATAATACTATATCAAGGACCCATACATTGCCATGTTAACTCATTAGTATGTCACTCTTCAGCCAAAGACAACCTCAATAGAAAAAGTAACTCTAAGCGCACAGGAATGACATGGAGAGTCTTTAGCAGTACTACGAACACTGCAAAGAAAAGAAGCAAACCAAGCAATTAACATTAATAATTGAAGATTTAAGAAACTTCCTTTAAAAACAATGCTGCCTTTTAGTTTTATAAAGAAATTAGTAATTTCTTGGACACTTTCTTCTTGAACATACAAACTGCATATGGTATGCCATATCATTTATGAGGAAACTTAGCTTTCTCACAGAGTTTCCAAATAAAGGGCCTTGTTCTTTCTCTTTCCTTTATAATCCTTTCTGATATCCTTGCTGCTTCTTCGAACATCTCTCAGATTTGCTGTCATTCATTAGAGAATTCTTCCACTGTCACTTCAGTGAGATATGAGGTTTTTGTGACAGTGTCTTCATTTTTCTTTTTGCTTCTATCTGCATAACTTCATAAAGAGCCTTAACAATTTCATGATTCTGACCATTAACATACTTCAGACTAAACTGGCAGCATGTTAAATAATAACAATCACATTGGACCAAATGTGAACTGTTTTTTGACAAACTCAACAAGAAGACACAGTACTGGCAGTGTCATACAAGATGGCAAGTGGAAAGTCAGACAAGCCACATCATCTTTTCAACCACTGGCAGCTCTGCTAGCTGAAAGCAAACAAAATCTCAGTGGCAAACTGCTGCAACTAGTATATGATCATGTCTGTGAGTCTGCCACCTCATTAGTAACTTCTGAACCATCTGGTAGACTTTAACAAAACATGGTATGCTAAACAAACCATCAGAAGACTCACCACCTTTATTCTTTCTAGTTTAATGGCAGCCTAGTTGCTGAATAAACTTCTGATGTGGATGTAACACAAGAGACACTATTATACAGTCCTGGAATTTTGGGTAGCGATGGATCTTTGAAAAAATGCAACTTGTGTTGCAGAAATTGCTTGTTTCATAAAAACCAGGCCAAAACATGAACCTCCTAAAATCTATACTTATGTTATTTTAGGGTGGGTGGAGTCCAACTGGGTCCACTGATTGGACTATTGTAGCCTGCCCCGGGTGATTATGATGATGGATAATTTGGTGGAATGAAGATTGGCAGGGGAAACTGAAGTACTCAAAGAAAACCCACCCCAGTGCCACTTTGTCCACCACAAATCCCACTTGACAAGAACCGGGATCGAACCCGGGCTGCCACCGTGGGAAGCCAGCGACTAACTGCTTGAGCTATGGTGCGGCCTTACTTACAGGTATGTTATTTGCTGCTGAAACTAATAAACCATTTGAGACAGATCATAAATATACCTACAAATTCTACACAAAACTTTTAATATGTCAAAAAATGAGGTTATGAGGTGAATTTAATGTAGTCAAAATCTGTGGTAGAGCAATTTATGTGCATATAAGCCTCGATTAATTGCATGTTCATAAATTTGTTTCTGGTGATCTTATGATAGTGTTATTATAACCCCTCTCCCCCTTTACTGCATGTTTTTCATCCAGATTCTGCAACTGCGATAAGCCGTGTACATAACAGATGTAATGAATATGATAAACTTCTATTATTATCAAGTTTACCCTTTCTGAAAGACTGTGTATAAAGTAAGAATATGGTACTTACTTTTGAACAGTTACAATAACACCAGACATATAATCTTCATCTTCTACTAAAGCATACACTAATTGTCCTTTGGACAATCTGTCCACAACGATAATAAAATCTTCCACTAATGACTTGACTTTTCCATCATCAAACAACACCACCCATCGCCCATCCTTGCTTTTCTCTTTTAGTCTGCCAGAATAATATTTTTTGTCTGTCCATCTTGCAAACACAGGAGCACCTGCAAAAAAGTGTTATATGTCATAAAACTGAATGTTTAATGTTTAATGGAATTATTACATAAATCATGGTATATAATGGCCATGCTTCTGTCTCAGCAAATTGAGCAACAGAACTGAAATTGCTCACATCATCCCTTGAATGACTGAAAACATTACTGCTGTACCAGGAGAAATGTAATCATGATCTACAACAAAAAAATGGATGTTAACCAATCTAAGAGGTGTACTGGGCCACAAATGGCAGATCTGTGGCAAAACTTGGGAGTAAAATGTGAAGTGTGAACTGGAGAAACAATATAAAATTCTGGTTTATCAGAATAATTAGTGGTACTACTGACAATGGGTGGTGGAGGTGAATCTGGATCCACAAACTGATCTGGTGAAAATGGATAGGACTTCAGTGCAAATAAAAAATACTACAAGATTTCTGGAACAGCACAAAAATAAATAAAAAAAGAGATGAATATTCTTGGAGTCAAATCTGACCAGATGAAGCAAACACTGGACAATGCAATAAATGACCACAAGCAGATCCAACAGGTAATAAGGAACTTGAAGCAGAAACAATATATCACTGAATGATATGGCAGCACAAGAGCGCTGGAAAAGTAGGAGTGACATTCTTGGTGAAGACTACACCCACAGTGGCAGGCAGTGTGGCTCAAGTTATAACCAAACAATATAATCTAAGAAAATGGGTTGCCAGGAGTCAGGGAGCTCAGAGAGATTTAAAGGGCCCAAGGTTCCAGAAGGAGAGTGCAAATTTTAAGCATGAAAGGGGAATGTGGGGGACTAACATAAAAGTAAGTAAGTAAAGCTATCCCTGTAACAGGCCGTGGCCCATAGGGTTGTGAGACGCTGAGGGTCCCTCACTGTCTAGACAATTGGCTCAAAGATGGCGGTAAGGTTGTCAGCCTTACACGCCGGCCACTTTACTCCCCAGGAAAATTATTTAATTAATTCCTGGTACTCATTTCTGTTAAAGGCCGAGTGGACCCCAGGGTCATAGTGCGGCCGGAAGGATTAGATCAATTGAAAAGCGAAGAACTTGTGTGAGAAATGCAAGCAAGGAGGGAAATAAAATTCTTAACTGTGAACATATCTGAATTAACTCAATTCTGAAAACTTTAAGGACACAAATTACTCATGTGTAGAAATCTGCTAGCACAATTTACAATATAAATTTTGTGGATATTATAATTATAATCAAGATTCTAAAATAGTAGGAAACAATATGATACAGAAATAATGAAATATACAAGTTTCATAATTTGTACTCCTCATTGTATATTGTTAGGATGACCGAACTATAGTGGTTGGGATAAGCTGAACATATAACATGCATAGGGAGAAATGAAATGCATACAAAATTTCAGATGGAAATCTTCCAAGGAAGGTATGACTTGGGACATGGACGACATTAAAATAGAAGTGACATAAATTGGATGTAAAATTAGCGACTGAATTCAATTGGCTCAGGAGAGGATACAGTGGCAGATGCTCGTGAACACGGTCATGAACCATCGGGTTCTATAAAAGGTTGAGAATTTCTTGAACTACTGGGTGACTATCAGCCAATTACATTTCATATGTTTCAATGAACAAACATTTAACATACCAGGCCTCAAGTGACTGGCTTCTAATACTGTAGATAAAACCTCTGGAGTTCCAGGAATGGTCATTGTGACAGTATCAGAACTTTCCTTCAGTCCTGACTTTGGAATCTGAGTTGTCACATCTTCTACAGAAGAGGTGACTGGCGTCTTGTTCCTTGCAGGTGTCCGTCGTCCTCTCCTGCTCTCAACATCCTGCTTCGAAAATGACCGTGATAAGGAGCATTTCTTTATTGTGGATCTTTGTCTCCCCTTTAATGGTTTTACTGTAGTCTTTGGCGTCTCCTTCAAGACATTTGCTGGAACTGGTACTGCATCATTACATGCAGGACTGGCACTGACTGCATCATCAGTTTCCCTAACTACAGAGAGATCCTTCATTTGGCTACAAACAGGCTCATCACCTGGCTTTTGAAGATCAGATTTTCTTCCACTATCACCTGTGTCAGCTCTGGCACTTCCTCCCTGACCTCTCTCAGAACTCTCTGGGTGGGAACTGATGAAAACTTTTTCTACAATGTCCATACCCTCTATAACAGGGCTGTGAATACCAGGCAAATTTCCACTAGGGCCCTCTTCACTTCGAAATGATCGATCCCTAGACATCTTTGGACCAGGGTGATTTGGCATTATGAATGGTCCTCCATCTGTGGCATACTTGTGTCTTGTGACTAAAACAAATATAGAAGAACTTAAATAATATTCAGTGGAATATAAAACTGATAATTTACACAATAAATGTTAGAGAAATCTTTTGTAATAAACAATGACATTGGTGGATGAGTAGCTAATATGATGTAGGATTCAATTACTGAAGAAGTAATGCTAAAATACTTGAATTAGGATTAAAATCATACAAAGTAACTGGAAGAAGATAAATACAGTAATTTTTGTTACCATTTATTCATGAATGGAAACAGTGACAATTTTAACACAAGGCAAATACACAAAAACCAGTGAGTTTGGCTATCATTTTTATTTGAAACTTTCTATGATAATTTGTTTCATACAGTGGCCACATTCTGAGTTTCAACACTAGACTTGGATTACAACTAAGTTTTATTTCGCTTAAGTTAAATAACACGTTCTTACGTATAAAACAGATTTACAGTAATACAGTGACATCACTTTGTAAGAAACTCCAGAGCACTTAAAAAAGTTAAAAGTAATAATGTTCCTAAAATAAAACTAAATGAAAATTTGAATAAACCTCCACTGTCAATTACAACTTGTTGCTTAAAACTAGGTTTTACAAAAATCTAATACACTTTCTTGAACATTCATGTCTCCACAAATAATGAATTACCTCACCATGGAAATGTAGCATATAACAATTTTAAAACATGATGTTCAATACAGGATTCGCCAAGAAGACAGGGGCTTGAGGTAAATGCCACCAGACGGTATAAAGAAAAGGACGTATATATTTACCTCCTTGGGCAACAGAACTGCCTCCCGATGATGTTGAGCTACTGGATACCATTGAAATTACTGACATCCGATTTGGTGGTAATGGAAACAGAGCAGGACCACTAAACACACAGAAATTCACTATAATTACATCATATCAACCCTGTATGAACATCCTAGTGAAATTCTGAGTTACAAGAAATCTGACAACATGACTCACAGCTGCAGGCCAAACTAGATTCTTTTTTGACAAAAGACTACTTGGAGGCATAGGAAAGCTGAAAATATGACTACATACATGAAAATGTAATGTTGAAGCATTTCATATTCCACAATCAAAAGCAAAAATTCTACAAATGCAAATTATATATACTCTTCCCTAAGGCTGTGCTCTCATAATCAGGACATGCGCCATATATGTAATTAATTTTCTATAACACCTAAAATCTCTGCCAGAATAAATGTGCCATATTTACATATGTGTAAGTAACCATTACACATACATCACAGATATTTTACAGTAAAACATTTTAATTTCTCATAAAATGTAAAATGTTACATTTTTGTCAACATACAAACTACCTTGCTCTTCAAATCACACATACTTTAATCAGCATGGTTAATGAATCATGTGCTTATGTCACCAATTTTTTTTTTAAATTAGTCTCCCCCACTTTCCATGGAAGCCCCTTCCCCTAAGGATGGAAACAGACCCAGAATCTGAAAGGTTTTCTTTTGTGTTTTCAGAATACCAGACCATGGACAAAGTCCAAAAAAATTCAGTAATCATATGTGGTATTACTTGGTTTATTTCCCATAATTCTCAATTTTCTTCAGTGGTTATATGAAACATAAACAATCCACACACACACCACTCTCTCTCTCTCTCTGCCATAGTCAATAAGTTCGTGGACTGGCCACAAAGTGTCATCGCAGTGCACTACAGCAGATAGGTGGAGGCACAATATCATGACCTGTCAGTTCATCTCTCATCACAGCAAGAGGCAGTTGTGTGTAAACAGTGTAAGCAGAACTACGACCTCTACTGTGAACTGCAGTTAAATGCAAGTGGTGAAAATCGAAAACACAGCAGTTTGAACAACGGGCAAACATCAAGTTCTGCCAAAAACTAGGCAAATCGCCTAGTGAAACATTTGGCATAGGAAGAATTGGCTGTTGTCACATGACAATGTCCCTGTACATCATTCTGTTCTTGTCCAAGAGGAACTGGCAAGGCAACAGGTCACCGTTTTGTCACACCCTCTGTACTCACCTGATCTCGCACCATGTGATTTCTTTCTTTTTCACCGCTTGAAAGCAAAGCTACGTGGTAGTAGATTTCGTCGTCTGAGGAGATCGTCAATGCCATGAGAGACGCCGTATGGGAATTTCCTGCCAATATGTTTCAGCAACTATGTAACTATGTAACTATTTTGAGGACCAATGTTGATATGTGTAAGTGCACGTGAACACCTTGTAATGTGATGCGATAAAACCAATCCACAAACTTAATGACTCTACCATGTATATAACCAAGGTGAAATTTACCTGTATTTGACCACAGACTGAATCTGAGTATCTCAGTAAACATTTTGAAGCACGAATAAATTTATAAAATCAATCTGAATTGTCAGGCACCATGCATATATTACACAATTATCAGACCTGATTGTACTACTTGGAGAAGTGGTCTTGGAAGATACATCAGCCAAACCACCAGAGGAAGAATAATCAGAGAGTCTTCTAGTAGTAAAATGAGCATATTCTTCTGTAATATCTTCACACTAAAATAAACATATGTTAAATATTAAAACAGTTACTACATTGCTACCAAGAAACAACATATGCTATAATTACTTACATAATTTCTCCCTCTCTATAATTGAGATCATTGTACAAATAAACAGTTTAAAAGCATCAGAATTATTACTGCAAAAAGTGCTGCCAAAACTAAAAGATTAGAGAAGACATACACAGACAAACAACAATTTCCTTACTATAAGAGCTAAATTTTTATAATACAAATTTAAATTCCTTCCACAATATTACTCGTACAACATTCTGATTCACATGCTACTAGCACATCCAAACAAACTATATGTTTGCAGCTATGCAATATTCTAAAGTCTGAAGAGACAATTAAAAACCAACTAGATGCACATAAAGGTACATTCATCTTGTTTACATCCACCATCCCCTTCAGACATGATATTACTTTCACAGTAAACTAACAGGGTTTATAAGGTTTTATTTTCCCTCATATGATGAAAGAGAGTCAGTAAATAAGTCACAAATGGATATAAAACATATAACATGTGATATTCAAAACTGAAAAAAACATTCATTTCCCAACATATCTCCACCAACATCAATACACTTATCTTACTGCTTCACCAGTGTGTCAAAACCCGCAGCATAGAACTTTCTGACTGTCTCAGCCACTTCCACACCTCTGTTTTAACCTCTTCATCTTCATCTTCTTCATTATCATCATCAGCAGCAGCAGGCACCAAGGTGGGTTTTAGCTGGCCAAACAGATGGAAGTCACTATGGGCCAAGTCCAGGTTCTATGGTGGATGCCCAAGAAGTTCCCACTGTAGTTCTTGATTCTCTCCTGAGTTGCTCACGCTGTATGGGGTCTGGCATGGTAATGATGAAGCAGTAGCCCCTTTGCCAGTTGGCATGGATGTTNCTGTTACGCTCACACAATATATGAGACAAAAACTCCGTCTTAAGTGCAACAATTTAATTGTAGTTCTTTCTTCTTTCCTTCCTCTACACTACATGTTTCGGCCTTAAATGGCCATCATCAGCTGTATATTCTTACGTAGCTGCTACACTGCTTGTAGTTTAAAATTTAAAACACCAGTCTTTCCAATTGTATGTATGTATAAAATCTTTGTTAACCTACACACGTCAATTTGATTTCCAAAATTGGCACCTTTTAAAACTTCAATTTCAAATTAAAATGTCTTTAAATTTAAATTTTAAATTTTTAAAATTTAGAAAAGAACAGAAAATTTAAAGACATTTTAATTTGAAATTGAAGTTTTAAAAAGTGCCAATTTTGAAAATCAAATTGACGTGTGTAGGTTAACAAAGATTTTATACATACATACAATTGGAAAGACTGGTGTTTTAAATTTTAAACTACAAGCAGTGTAGCAGCTACGTAAGAATATACAGCTGATGATGGCCATTTAAGGCCGAAACATGTAGTGTAGAGGAAGGAAAGAAGAAAGAACTACAATTAAATTGTTGCACTTAAGACGGAGTTTTTGTCTCATATATTGTGTGAGCGTAACAGGATGCTTAAATATAATATTGCATCCTGAAGCTTCAACAGATCATCACAGTACGATGCAGAATTTGCATTTTCACCACACTTCTAAAAAGAACTATCAGTAGTCCCTGAAAATCCAGAACATGGTAAGCACAACCTTCCTAGCTGATGGCATTCTTAAACTTTCTGGCTGAAGGTGAACTGGGATGTTTCCATTGCACTGAAGCAGGCTTTTATACAGACTGGTAGTGATGCACCCAAGATTTGTCCCTAGTAAGCATATCTTCTCCATCTGCATACCACAAGAAACATTAAAAGGGCAGACCCATTTGGTTCATTTTTTCTTGATCCTTCAGTTTCCTGGGCACCCCCTGTGCGCACACTTTCTGAAACTTCAAACAGTCATGCATTATGCTGTATGCTAAACCATGGGAACACCCTACTGCAGTTGCTACACTGCCTACGGTTAGCCTCCTGTTAGCTCCAATCAACTCTTCCATACACCGCAGTTGCTTCTATTGCAATCTCAACAGGGCAATCTGCCCGGGCATCACCTGCAATTTTCAAACATTCTTGAGATAATTTCTTGACCCAGTTGCAAACTGCTTTACATGTCAAACACTTCCCACTGAAAACTGGAAACATTTCCTTCTGAATATCCTTTGCATCGATCCTTTTGCACACAAAAATGCACAACAGAACTCTGCTCTTCAGTAGTAGGCACCTCAAGCAAGGTCGCCATTTTGACTACTGAAATCAGCCCCTGAACATGCACATCTGCTACTTAGAGTGTAATGAAGTTGGACTGTACTGCTACCTAGTGATACATATTCAAATCCTATTATGTCCCTTTCAGCTGTTTTACTTCCATTTGTGACCTATTTACTGACTCTCCCTTCTACTAGATTAAAATTAAAATCTGAAACTGTAGTGCATATATTTTGCAATGGCTTAATTATATAAGTAATTTTGAAGACTGGATTGTTGTGTAAGTCACTCGTAATTACAATAGAACAGTAAACAAATGTAGCAAAACTCAATTCATTAGCACTTTTCAAGATTGAGATATCTAAACTCCAATTAATGTCTTGCAGATACCTTAGTAAGCAAGCAATGTCATGTACTGTCATGTGCACAATCAAACACAAAATGTGTACGTACATGGTATGCAAATGATAAAGTGAGGAATACATTTATGTATAAATAAACATTAGATATCTGCTGGAATCGGCACTACAATTTCAATAACCAAAAGTGTCAGTCTAAGAATCACTATATTTGATTAAGTGCAAATAACCAATGCATTATTTAATGCGGTTTTCAATAACTCACGTTGTACAGGGTGTCTGAATGAAAGGTGTCCAAAATAAAATAATTATATCTCAGAAAGAATTTTATACACATTTATCACATTTATGGGTTATACTATTACAAAGGGAAACACAGTTTTTTCCTGAGCATATAACTTTCTCAATAAATATCAATGTGGGCTCCCTTGGTGGCACAAATATCCAGATGATTTCCTAACACAGTGGCAGAAATGTGACAGCAACCCATCTTATTGGAGGATAGTCTGATGTGGTAATTTGGGCACCGCATAAAGCTACAGCATGTCCAAATACAAGCGACCAGTTAGAGTCTGTCCGAAAAGAAAAACAGTCCACATGTGACATTTGGATTTTGACTGCTCCAAATCCTGCAGTTGTACCTGTTTAAAACTCCAATGACATGGAATGTCGCCTCTCCAAGAAGTACACTTGGCAGAGGAAAAATCAGGTGATGCTTCAATTCTTTCTAGCATGTCCACAGCGAAGTTTGTGCATGCTACTTGGCCACTTGCACTTTTAGTGCAAGAATCATTCAAATCTTGTTAAGCTCTCAGGTGGAAACTTTGTGTAGCACATCATGCACTGCTGAACATGGAATTTCTACACAACTGCAAGCTAGCAGCATGAACTGATTTGCATGGACTTTGCTGGATTGCCTCTCTAATATGACTGACATTTTCTTCAGGGGTCTGTTCCTTTCCAGGAAATTTTACACAAAACAGACTACCTGTAGTCCTCAGTTTGCTGTCCCAGAACTGAATGCCTTTCTGTGTAGGATGCTGACTCCATATTGCATTCTAGAAGAATGCTGGACAGCCATAAGAGATTGCAACTCTGCTAGTCACAACACCCACTGAACCTATTCTTGTGGCGTCTACATCACTACTGAGCTTGCCATACGTCACCAGCTGACAATGCACATAAGCCAGGCATTGGGGGGGGGGAAAAAAAAACTTTAAGAGTTTTCCTTTCCGATGACATAAACCAGACAGGTGTATGACAATTAGTTTCCGCGATATAAATTTTTTATTTTGGATACCTCTCATCTGGACACCCTGTACAGTGTTGAATGATGGAATTATTAGTGAATAATGAATTAGAAATTACATGAAAGGAAGTGGTTGTGACATGATATGAGGTACTATCCTGGCATTGTCTACAGGGGCTGAGAAAAATCATGAAACAAAATCAGCAAGGACACCTGTCTCCAACCTAAGATCTGAAACCAGGACCTCCCAAATGTGAAAAACACGCCAACCATGTGACTGTGAAAACAGGTTACAGTAAGATTTATACAAGTTCTGATTACAACATATTTTGTGTACCACAAAATAATCAGACAACTACAAAATGTTCAAGTTATGTTGCACAATTTTCCAACTTTTGATATTCATAGAATTTAGCCGGAAAGACAGGTCTGTCACTCGCAACAGTAATAAGGAGGCTGCATAATCTGTGAAATAATTTTCATGACACAAATGAAGTCATCAACCCAAAAAAAGCACAGTTACTCACCTGCTGAACTTTGTACACATCCTTGTCATTTTCCTTTACACATTTCAGTTTAACTTTCATGACAACCTCCCATTCCATTTCATTTCCTTGTAGAGAATCCTTAAAAAAAGAAACAAGAACAGTGAACACTTCTAATGTCATATTTCCTTGTTGATTATAAAATTTAAACAGTATTATTATTATTATTATTATTATTATTGGAGGGGGTGGGTTTCCCCATGCACCGCGACCAGTGGTCTATTGTACGTCCCCTGTGATATTCTACCAGTCTCTATACTCTACCAACACTGGTGCGTGCCATCAGTCCCGACTCAGCCAGCGAGTTCGGACTCTACTGGCTCTGCGGTATCTAGATGCTTCCCCCATCTACCAGAGGCATTAAGAGACTATTGCTGGGCGGGAAATGTCCTTATAATTTGGCTCAGAGGCCTCCTTGAGGCATGAGGTTCTTTTACGTGCCGTAAAGCTACGACACGGGACCCACGGCTTAAAGTCTCTCCCAGAGGACTTGTTCCCTGAATTTTTCCACCCTTAAAAATTCCATGACCTCCGCCGGGTTTGAACCCGTGTACCTTGAGTCATGAGGTGGGAACGTCACCCCTAGACTACGGAGGCCGCTAATTTAAACAGTAACTGACATTGTTGTACTGACTACAAGCCAATTATGTCACACATTAATCACTTTTATGCCAAACAGAAACACATGTCATGCTCAGGTACCCCAAATACAGAATCTTTCTCCTTCCCCATTTCCTTCCATCCTGTCTCACTACTGCTAGGGGACTACAAATGATAAAATGCACAACACAATTTATGTTATATCATTGCTAGGCAACTATATATATAATGAATAACTGGATCTGTTTGGTATTAATAAGCCTTAACACCATGCAGCATTACAATAATGAGTATCAGAAAAGATGTGTGATGCACACCACTTTATTTTCATAATCTAAATTTAGCAAAAAAAAAAGTTCAGGGATTTTCTTATTCTGAACACTAACTTTCACACGTCAGTTAACACATCAAATTACCCAGCTATCAGAGACAGAATATCAAAATGTGTACTCAATTTACACAGCCAACTCTGAGACACATACTGCAGAGTTCTAATTTATTTGTTACAGCTGAGAGCCAGGATATAGTATGTAATGTAGCCTTTATGGCTTCTTGAGTTTAAATGAGCTACTACATAAATAATTTCATTCCAAGGTCAGATCAACAATATGCACATGATTATGCTTACATTAAAAAGCATAAGCAAATAGTAACTCAATTCATGTAATTAAAAAAGCAAGCATATTGAGTAAGAGATGCTATACTATTTATGGAGTTTACTGAAGATGGATGTAGAAGATTCCGTATTCCGTATTAAGGGGGTGGGTTTCCCCATGCACTTAGACCGGTTACTGGTCCATTGTGCATCCCCCTTTAATTTCTACTGTCTCCATACCCTACCGGTACTGGTGCTTCCTATCAGTCCCTTTCTGCCAGCGAGGTTCCAACCTCTTACTTGCAGTGGTATCTAATAGTTAGTCCCTTTCTGTCAGCGAGTTCGTCCCTCCTCTGGCAGGGGTTCCTAGTCCCTTTCTGCCAGCAAGGTTTCTACCCTCTACTTGGCAGTGGTATCTAATACTTTAGTCCCATTCTGTTAGAGAGGTCCCCCTCCTCTGGCAGTGGTACCTGATACTTCCCCCATCTACCGGAGGAATTGGAAACTAGTTGGGCGGGGAACTTGACCTAATTTTGCTCAGAGGTCTCCTAGAGACATGAGGTTCTATTACGTGCCATAAATCTACGACACGGGACCCACGGCTTAAAGTCCCTCCCGGAGGACTTGTTCCCTGAATTTTTCCACCCTTAAAAATTCCACGACCTCCACCGGGTTTTTGAACCCGCGTACCTTGAGTCATGAGGTGGGAACGTTATGTAGAAGATTAATAAACACACACAATGCAGTTGCATTTTATGCAAGGATGCATTCCTGAAGACCTCACATAATTCTAGACAAATTTTTAAACTCATATGTGATCCTTGCTGAGTTTTTTGGGATTTGCATTATTTCAAACTTTGTGCACAGAGTGAGAATTTATTAATATTTCTTTATATTGCACTACTTCAAATTTGCATAAAATGATACATAACAAATTATTCTGTACATAATGTACGGCTTAGTTTTAGAGAATTCTGAAAGAACAGGTTTGTAAATAATATGGTCACTAATTGCATGGTGTATGAACAAAATTTTCACCATGAAGGACTCTCATTTCTGTCACAATGACAGAAATAAAAGAGATGCAACCTATTCAAAGCCCACGTGTGATACACAAAAGGTGAAGATGGGGTACAGTGCTTGCTGACTCAACTGCAAAATATTATTGATAAAACTGTAACAGAAGCAGATAATGCAATTTCAGAACAGCTTCCACAAGCCATCTTTGTAATTATACATCTTGGTACCTAGCTATGTTCATTTACTGCACCTAAAAAAATCAATGACAAAATTAATCAAACAGAGACATAACGAATTAATCTTGGTCTTGTATCTTGTTAATCCTTTGAAACCTAAGTCACGACATGCAGAGAACACAAAAATGTAAAACTGATTATTTTTACCTAATTTCCTTTCCAATGAGGTCAACTCTCTTGCAGGAATAATGTCCAAATAATCGCAAATACAGTAACATACAATCCTGCTGCTGACTAAGCTAATCAGGACTGGCTAATATTATGTTAACTGCATAGGACCCCTATAATCCAAAATAGCCAAATTCTTAATTCATGATGACTTTCTAATTTGGTTAATTAACTTTTAATGTTAATGTCCATCATTTCTATCTAAGGTCCAAATTGTGTATTAATGAAGTGTCATCTCATTAACACATTGCGGACCGGCTGTTTAAATATTTAAATCACCCTGGGGACCGGGGTTTTTAAGCCTAGCACCCTAACTTGTGCACTGTTCACTTTAAAAATTAATATAAAATCTCCTAATTAATTTTATGAAATCAAATTTTTTGAGAACACTTACCAGAGCTCCTACAAGTGCTTGCACGTGTGATGTCTCTGGAAACATTCCCCTTTGTGAAGAGGCATCATATCACAATATATTGGGGGCTCCTGTCACTTTCACTGAGGCTGGCCTCACTATCAGAAGATGAAGCAGTTGGCAAATGTGATAGCTCATCGGAGAACAAAGCTAATATTTCTTGTTCTCCGAGAGAACTCTTCGCCTGCAACTGCTTTCGTCTCTGATCCGTGTTGCACTGCTAACTTCCTGGTTCATACGTGGAAGCTTGGACTCTAACAAAGGCTTTTTTCTTTAGGGTGTGACAGGAAATGAGCGTGATCATGTTACTGGCTAAGCTAGCAAACATTCCCGAGGTCAACTACGCAGTAGTTATGATGCAACATGGCCACACAGCGAGATATAGTCAGTTGCAACATAACGTGTCAGAAAAGGGCCAATTGGCCCGCCTGGTCCGCAACGTTATAGGAACGTAGAGGGCCAATTGGCCCCTCCGGTCCTGAACGTGTTAAGCAACAGACTACGAAATGAATATACACACAAAAAGTAATACCTATAAACTAGTATTATGGGAGACATGTCATATACCTGTTCAATGCTACTTGCACTGGACTCTTTGACTGCTGTAACTGCATGGTCCATATGTGGTGTAGAATGTAGCCTTAAGATCCCCTGTTGAAAAAAAAAATCCACACATTCACCTAAATACCAGCTATCATGGAATGATTTAGAATAATAACCAATTGATACCTGAGAAGTTATTTTCATAAGTGGGATACACAGCATGTATAGGTGAAATGAGAAATGTCAAAAAAAATTTGAGAAAGACAACATGAAGGAGTGGCTATATGAAGGTACAGCTATCCCTGTAACAGGCCATGGATGCCCATAGTGTTCTGAGATGTCAAGGCTCTCACATTTCCTAAATAATCAGCTCACAGATGGTGTGGTTGTCAGCTTTATGTGCCTGCCACCCTTTACCCCAAGGAAGATTCCTGGTACTCATTTCTATTAGCGGCTCAATCAACCACAGGACCATAGTACAGCTGAAAGGATTAGGTCAATAGAAAAATCCAGTAACCTCATTGGGAATCGAAATCATGACCTTCCTGCTTGTAGCATAGTCCCTCAACCAGCTACGCTACTGCATGCCCCTTCCAAGTACACAACCAAACACAAAATAAAACTCCACTTTGTGCCCATTTCTTTTTTAAAAACAAATTTCACATTATGTTTGTATTCTGACACTGAACACAGTCAATTTTCTAGCCAAAGCCACAAGATAACCTGCCCCCAGTTAATTAGGAGTCTCCCTTTCTCTTTTTTTTTGAACTGTGGTCATTAATGACAAAATTCAATTAATGTGTTCATCCACCCTAAGATAATTTCTTCAATTACTGAGTTCCAGTCTCAATTTAGTTAAAAAATTAATGTGTGAAAAACCATCACATTTCATGAACAAACGCTTACACCACCTACTTACTATCTCTTATGAATGAGAATTGTACTAAAACTGCTGGGAGATGAGAGAATGACTCCTTGCATTCTCCATCTCAACTGCTCAATGAAGCTTGCATAGTCAACTTCTTAAGCAAGTTTGATAAAAGTATACACATTGCTTTTAGACTGACTAACCATAGTAGAGGCTGTGCTATAGCTCAAGTGGTTAGTCGCTGGCTTCCCACTGCTGCAGCCTGGATTTGATCCTGGGTCTCGTCAAGTGGGATTTGTGGTGGACAAAGTGGCGCTGGGGCGGGTTTCCTCCGAGTACTTCGGTTCCCCTGACAATCTTCATTCCACCAAATTCTCCATCATCATAATCACCTGGGGCACGTACAATAGGCCAATCAGTGGCCGCCGTGCTAAGTGGACCCAGGTGGACTCCGTACCCCAGTAGCGAATTAAAAAAAAAACATAGTTTGCCCAAACTACAGCACCTATATGCTGTCTTTATACTGTAAACAAGGGTGTGCATTTATTCTTTAAGTTTTAAACAAGATAATTGCAGAAAACTGAATTTACTAGAGACCAGAGTCTTACAGATCATAAATAAGACTGTAAGATCTTAAAAGCCACTGCCAAATGTCAAGCAGGAAATTAGTTGCCACCCAAAATTTTCAATCGCCATTGAGAACCACACATGTTTCAGCCTGTACCTCCATCTATATGGAATGTAAGGCAAAACAGCTTGTAATGATATATATGTATTCAGTTCTACTTTCACCAAATCCAAGGAACAGTTTTCCAAGACACAAAGATCTTCTCTATTGGTCCTAGAAGAGATTACAGTATGAAACTCTCTTTATTAAGTTATGGTAGTTAATCATGAAGACTAAAGTAACAACTGTGCTGTTATGACAAAACACATCACAAAAATAAATATCCCACACTACAATTCTGTAATAAATAAGATACATAGTTATTTGCCTTTGATTTAACAAGCAGTCCCTTCACTTCAGTACCATTCCATGGAAATATAGCGGGAGGATGGAGACAAAGCTTTATGATTTGTTCATGCTCATGGAAGACGAAAAAAGTCTCCCAGCAGCCACTAGGCAGAAGAGTATGTGGAGTCAAAAGCCAGGCTAGGCAAGCCCCACCCCCAAACCCAGTTCTTAATTTTCAAGCTTGTTTTGAGGAGCTGTCTTATAAGGTGAATCATCTCAAATTTGGATTAATACAGTATTCATTCAACTTTACTTACAAAGAAAGGCCTATTTTAATACACAGATAACAGTGTTGCATTGGATATTTCCTAATCACATATCCTTATACATAATGAAACAGTTGGCAATTACCTTCTGCAGAAGAGTTGAGGGCTTCTGATGTAAAATGCTGGGAGTATCCGTGCGTCCATTTCCCACATCACCATTGGCGGTCCTTGCCTTCTTCTGTGCTTCTGAGGGAGTGGAATGCCCATCACTTTCACTGTCACTTCCAACTATACTAACAATTGGAATGCCTTCTTTCCCATGGTCTCGTTTCCTTTTAGAAGTTGTGAGCTGACTCTCACTATGCCCTAGGCCCACAAACTGGCTTGGTTCTGCCAATGCTACCTGTGCTCCAGCTTTCACTCTGCCAAAGCTTGTACCAGAATCATCAATATGAAGTGAAACTTCATGAGAATTTGCTGTAGTCAGAGAATGCAGCTTACTTAGCTTCTTCTTTGCCATGTCACAAGAGCCATTAGTATACCCAGAATTTGTAGAGCTTCCATTGCTCTGGACTTGTGAAGCCTTTTCAAGCTCTTCTTCTGTGTCTTCTTCCTGAATTGTATACACAGAATACCTTTTTGAATTAGAACCACCTGAAAGAAGTTTCTTACCATGTTTCATGGTATTTAACACTTCTTGCTCACCTCGAGAACCAGAACTCAAGGACTCTGCATTACTGCTTTTGTAAGAAGAATAGCTTGTATGATCCCCACTTACTGATACTGAATGAGAGCTGCTATTCTTGTCTGACCTACACACAAAATCCAGAGGCTTCTGTGATGGTGAAGGTGATAGGCGAAGATATAATTCTCCATCAGAACCTTCTGCTTCAGTGTCGATATCTTTCTTTCTGTCTGCATTATCATCAACATCAATCACTTCCACAGTACCTCCTGAGGCCCTGTTCCTTCCTGTATGTACCTCATGCTGTGAAGTGCTCTTTGTTGAATCATGTGAATGTGAGCTTACAAATAATACTTCAATACTTTGCCTTGGCTTCTTACTATTAAGTATTTCAATTTCAGGACTAGAATCATTATTCCCTTGAACAGACAGAGCATCAGTTACACTCTGTCTTACCTCTTCCTCATATCTGTGAGTCTGTGATTCAACTTTCCCAATAATCTTTCTACTACTGCTAAGGACAAACTGAGGTTTTGGTCTCTCAGTTTCTGTTTCAAAAATTAGTCTACGGCTTGCCTTAGGTGAAGTCAAACCTGACCGTTCTTTTTTGTTTGCTTTTGGGCTAATCTCTACTTCTTTCTCTTTCAAGGTTACCTTCGTTGGGGACATTAATGGTAAGTTGGATTTATGCTTTGCTGAATCATCAGCACTAGCTGAAGCTGCAGGCGAGGAAGGGAGAGAATGAACACCCAGAGAAGACCCTTCTTTGGAGTACCTTGCTTGTTCAACATTCATATCCTTTCCTTCACCCTCCTCCTCAACAATCCGTGGTAATTTGGACAATCGGTTTATACCGATGAGGAGAGACTCCTCATGCTTACGTTTTCTTTCTGACTTAGTAAGTGATGTTTCAAACTTGCTGCTGGGATCTTCTGATAGTGTTGTACTTGACTGCATTAAACTGTGGCTGAAACATGAAACACATTACAATATTACATGCACAGATCAATGTCAGTATTTCCCTAACTTCTTTGTCTATGCAACCCTCCTAATTTAAAGAATAAACTGACATAATACACACCAGAACTAAAAACTGTAGATATAAAAGGCACAGCAGATTTTATACAATTTAGAAAAGAAAAATAAAAGAAAATTACACTCTGTTGATTCCATTTGTGTTAAATCAAAACACAGATTTTGTAAATTCTCTGAATATTGAGACTAATTCTAGAGGGGTCAATTCTCAATGCAGCATTTAACTCACATTTGAGTCATAATGCCCCAGAAAGTCTACACTAATTCATCACTTCAGTGTAATTACAAATACTGTAATAGTCTTCCTCAAAAAACAGAATCCACTATCTTACCATCAGCCTGTTAGCTGTAACTGAGCCATTCTCTGCTGTGAAAAAGGAGTCTAGCATCATAGCTAATGTGCCAAGGAATATAAACATGAATACTGTAATCTGCTGGAGTGATGACAGACAGGGTTTGTATTGGTAATCAGATTTACTGGACTCTTTAAACATAACTTTTGACTGCACTTTACAATCACTACTGCACAAAGACTAGTGTTCTCAGTCATGATCTTCACTGATCTGCTTGGTAACATCTTCCATGAGAGGACATTCTTCTGCTCCCAGACTCCCATCCTCGCAGGCTGGCAGTCATCTCACACGAACCTACTAGACTTCTAACTGCCGTCTCAAGACTCTATCTAATAGCCACTGGTCTTTAGAGACTCAGCACACCCCTGCAACCGCAATTGGATGGCATGGTGGAACACTACATCAAAACGGTAGAGGACAACCTGAAAAAGGTCATTACAGCCCACCAGAAGGATTGGGATGCAAGATTACTCATCTTCCTCCTCGCTTACAGGGCATCCACTCACGACAATATGGGTCTGACCCCTGCTAGTCTACTGTTCAGAGAACTCCAACTGCCCTGTGACCTGCTGTTTGGCCCCCTCCCTACAAAGAATGACCCACAAGCAATCACACGGTAATTTTAGTGGCCCATTTACATGACATCCACAATTATGCCTTCCCACACCTGAAACTGGCCAGTAACTGGATGAAAACTCATTATGACACTGGCCAGCTGAATGGGCTACCACAAGGGCAACAAAGTATGGCTCTATTGTCCAACCCACAAGAAGGGGAAATCGCCCAAACTCCAATCCCCATGGGAGGCTTGCACAAAGTAGTAACCTGGATAAATAATGTGGTATACAGGATCCAGGGGAACCCTAGATTGATGATGGTGGTACACCAGAACCAGCTTGCGCCTTATCAGAGAACCGCTTGGGGCGAGCGGCTTTAAGGAGGGACCAATTCGAGAGTGAACACAGCGCAAACCGAGCCACAGGGAGGAAATAGAGACCAAGCAGACATCAAAAGCAGAGCCCTCAGTAAAGAGGTGGTGGGACACCGATAGGCCATTTGAGACAAATAGCCTTAAGGGGGGAGCAATGTAGCATGCATAACCACTGCTACACAACAGCAAGATGGGAAGATATAGCAAGGCTCTTTCTGGGCAACAGCTCGGTAAACATGTTCCTGCAGCAACAGGCACGAACACAACAATAGAAGAGCTGTGTTTTCTGTGTGGTCCATGCTGAGATGCTGTAAGCAAGAGACAAAGTTAGAGCTCAGTTCTGTATGGGAGTCTGTGAAGAAAGGACTCGAGATGGAGGCAGAGAAATAGCCATTGTTGAGGCCGTTGCCAGGAAACGTCTCACAACAGACTGAGAACACTAGGCTGTGGTTTAGTAAACTGTAAAGTGTAGAAACAGATAGTGTTATTGTTACTTGTACTTACAAACTGTAAGTTATCAATAAATCTAGTCACCAAACCAAACCCTGTCTACAGTCACACAGTGATGATAATGTCACATGCAGGGGGGATATAAAAAAATGTGGTCTGTAGTCCGCAAGTGAACTATGAGGGGGTACCCAAAAGAAACCAAACTTATTTTTTCTAAACTTATTTATTCAAATTTTAAGCACAAACCTTCAATCCCCTTCAAAGTACTCTCCACTTACACTAATACACTTGTCTAGTCTTCTATTCCATTTTTCAAAATATTGTCTAAATTCATCTTTTGAGATGCTTGACAGCGCCTCCGTCATTTTTTCCTTCACCTCAGCAACATCAGCAAAATGCTTTCCTTTCAGTCTCTTTTCATTCGAGGAAACAAAAAAAAAAAAGTTTTGATCATTTCGGGACTCTTCTTTCAAAGCACAGCATGCTTCCACGTGACCTTGTTTTTGTTCACCAGTCAGCAGTTGTGGCACAAATTTCGCAGCCACCCTTTTCATTCCCAAATCTTCTGTCAAAATTCGCTGAACTGAGCTCCAAGTCACTCCCGACAGCTCCACACTTTCTTCAATGGTCCGTCGTCGATCTTTCTTGATGATTTCACGAATTTTTTCAACATTTTCCTGTGTTCGGGCAATGGAAGGTCAACCAGAACGATGTTTGTCATCAATTGACATTTCACCATTTTTGAAACAGGAAAACCACTCAAACACTTGAGTTTTCCCCATAGCATCGTCCTTGTACGCCGTTTTTAACTGTTCCACTTTTCCCGAGCAAAAAGCAGAATTTCACCGCTGCACGCTGTTCACGAAAATCAGCCATTGCAAAAACGACGATCACACAAAACAGTTGTCACTATAAACTCTGCCGTAACTAGTCCTTACCTTCTGAAGCAACGGTAGTCGGCTTATCGACTCAGGAATGTTAGCTCTATGCGCTCATAGCGGCAAAACGCGGTACTACAAAAGCTCTGCCCACAAAAAAATTAGTTCGGTTTCTTTTGGGTACCCCATCGTATACCGACCAAGCGACTGCCACTTGTCAGAAAAGTTAGTGCCAACTTTAGCAGATAGAGGGTGTCACGTGGTCAGCGGAACAGATCACCACAGCTGTTAATTTCTAGACCAGAGCTGCTATTTCCTTGAAATAGCTCTTCAGTTATCCTCATGAGGCTGAGTGAACCCCATTCCAGACCCACTACTTTTTAGAAAATGTGGCAGCGGCGGGAATCGAATCAAGGACCTCTGTATCTGTAGCCAGGAACTGTGACCACTAGACCACAGAGGTGGTCAGCATGACAAAAATAATGGATTCTAGATTGGATGATTGGATTTACTGGCACTTTGGCTACAGTCTCTCTTAATTACAATTATTACAACGCTATCGCTGATTTACACAACTTACAGCTCACTGTTATAATTGCACTAGGATTCTCAGTCTTCACTAGTCGTCTCCTGGTAACAGAATTAAAAGTCTCACTGAATCACACACTCCCAATATCACCGTACACATATATAAAGTCTTCAATGCACACATTAAGTTTCCACAGGGCAACTTCTAATTCTTCAACTACGAACTTCCCCATGGCTGCCTCCTACTAACAACTGAACTGAATTCCTATTCTCCTGACACCCTGTTCCTTCAAACTGGTTTCCTTGTACAGACTCAGCTCAGCCATGCATCACAGAAAACACATGTTACACGACTGCTACCCTGTGTTGTGTGACATTACCATGCATGCGCAAGCTGTGTGGACACAAAGAAAACACTGCTCCAGTATTGTTGCCCATGTGTGTTGCAGGCATTACCTAGCAATAGATTTACATGAAACAATAATAATAATAAAGCCCACAAACTTGCCTGGATTCTATTACAAGGGCTCAGTAATGATTTTGCAGATTCCACAAGGGTGGGGAATCTACTAACCACCTCAGAACTATCAGCTTCTCAAGGACTCATCTCCATGAAGGTTTTCATGTTACAGTTCCCTTCATGAGCATTTCATTTGAAATATATCAAAGGTAAAGAGAATCGAGGAACAAAAATTAACATTTTCTATTCAGATATAAACATTAACATATATGTATAAATTCTGCTGTTGTATAACATAAAATCTTTCCCTTAAAAAATGTATCCCGAAAAGGAGACTTCCTTTTCAATCATTTTCCATTAAATCATACCTCCCATCAACAGATCCTTTAACAAAGTCACCATAATTAGTGAATGTCTCTGATAATTCTCCTGAAACCTCAGAACCCTCTTGGCTTTGACTGGCAAACATATCACCCTCTGAATATGACACTGCTGAAAAAAAAATGGAGTCAAATAATATAAAATGACAATTGAGAATGAATTCATATGACTGAAAATGTTTCTCAAAAATTCAAACACACTGATAATTCACCTTCAAGATCAGCAACATCAATAGTGGTGGCTTGGCTAACTCCTGCAAAACAAAAAATACAGTTTTAAAAACATTATAAACATCAATCAACAGATGGCGAAAGCCACAGCTACCAGAACTCAAGACAATTTCATATTTGGTGAAGACAGCGATGGGAATGATCTTCCACAAGCTAAAACAGTCATGTCTTTGAAGAACTTCAATTTCTCATGTCAATTATTACTGCTAAAAAAAATACTTTGTAACACAAATACTTTTAATCTCACTGTACTGTTTTAGATGTTAGTCCTTATTTAATTCCAACATATATTTTTAAATTGTTATACTTCTTTCTTCACGTTCTGGATTCAGCGGTAATATTGATCTTACCACAAAGCAGTGACTAATGTCCCCTTATGACAGGCACTAAGCTGTGTACATCAGTGGTTTGCCTTTCATGTCATAATGAAGTTGCTAGGATTGTTGGATAATGGGATCAAATTCCTGTTAGTTTTAAATGGGGATAAGACCGTCTGTGTTTGGAATATGTCAAGTTGTGGCTTTTGTATTAAGGCTGGTCTTGTTGAATTCTACTGAAAAATGTTTCTGTGAAGTAGCTGGTTTTGGTACCACTGATCTGTGAATTGGGTAACTTTTGGATTTTGTCATTCAGAATCAGACTGCTATTCAGATAATTTTTGGAGATAACTAGAACCTTTGGTAATTTTCTTATTCTTGGTATATCTAATGATATTTTCCAATGATCAGATTATAATGCATCAAATGCCAGATGAATCAGCAAATTTTAAATTAAAAAAATTGGAAAAAAAGTCATGGTCTCATTTAAAGTCATATCCTAGGTCCCGCCATAGCTTAAGCGGTTAGTCGCTGGCTTCCCATCGCGGCAACCCGGGTTTGATCAAGTGGGATTTGTCGTGGACAAAGTGGCACTGGGACGGGTTTTCTCAGAGTACTTGGGTTTCCCCTGACAATCTTCATTCCACCAAATTCTCCATCATCATAATTACCCAGGGCAGGTGTAATAGGCCAATCAGTGGCCGCTGTGCCGAGTTGACCCAGTTGGGCTCCACCCCCCACTAATCGAATAATAATAAAAGAAAAAAGAAGTCATAGCCTGGGAATGGCTTAGTAGAACTAAGGAAAACAACCAGAAAGTTATAAAAGATAAAACAACTCCATCCAGTGTGACTGTTGAAGTTTTTACTACTTTAAATCTTAGCACCCTTACATGTTTTAGTCCCTATAGACCATCATCAGAGGGACATTAATACTCTTTGGAAACCACTATTGAAATGGGTGTTCTGAATGTTAAAATATATACACATACAATGTTTGTAATGCACAATATACACAAAATCCAAAGTTTTCACAACTACAATGGTTGTCCTGGTATATTAAAGTTTTTTAAAACTTAAAATTTATAAATCTATTTGGTGTTCAGCAAAGTAATGTAATTGCTGTATCCATGTTCAGTAACAACAGAGAACTGAACAGTCAGTAATGTTATTTACAATGTATGGAAATTCAAGTGGAAGAAAGCTTCCACATATCTTTACTCATGATCTAAAAAGTGTCATTATAAGTGGAAGAGTATTGCATACAAATGGAATTACTTTCACACAACCCAAAACAGAATTATCAACAAAGGAAAACAAACTAATATCAGACAATCTACTTGTTCATCACCAGAAAGGACATGTCTAGAAAAGAAAATTATTTCAACTATAGGCCAATCTGACAAGGAGACAGTAAGATCAATCTACAACTTCTACAACACACAATGTACTTTGCAACAATGTTCAAGCAAAGAAATCTCAAACATCTAATAAAAGGAAGGTAGTGATCAATCAATGGTTAGATGCTTACACTACTACTGGTGCAACAAAAGTTGAGCTGGAAAGCTGATTTTTACACCACAAATTTCACAATTCGTTTTTTAACTGAAGTTTTTGGTGCTGCAATGACACATAGGACTTCTGCTGACAACCTTTCAATCAGTACTAAACCCAAAAGAAGGGATCTGGAGTATAATTAAACGAACAATTTTATCAGACATACCCAAATTCCCAGTTACTTCTGACAGTATGTGACCTTCACTCTCAGACTCCAGTACTATATTGACGTTCTGACCCACTTTACACTCAGTTCTCTGGAAGCTGTAACAGAAAATAAGCTGCACAGTTTAACAGCAGATATGACAGATATCATCCCTGCCAAGATAAATCAGCTGTAATATACTTCAGATCACTATAGCATTTCTATGTCAAATTTTTTAATGGAAACCTGAAAAACTTGGAAATATAGGTATTAAATGGCAGGAACCAACATTAAGCTACTGGCTTCAACAGAGAGCATGCAGCCTATAATTCCTTCATCTCATGAAAGGAAGAGGTAACAGATGGCATGTGTATTATATGCTATGGGAGAATAAGGTTTCCTACTGACAAATTAAACTTAGTCTATGCCTTAACACATATCAAAAATAAAAGAGTACCTGTATATTATTATTGACTTTTATCATCATAATTTGTGCAAAAGTTTATATATTACACATTTCAGCAATTTTTTGGCCATCATCAGGTAAAACATTTATGCTCACTCTCTATTCTTCTACTATTTAACCCCCCGCCCCACTGACCAATGTTTACATCTGGAGGAGGTCATACATGTTAAGTGCCAAATGTTAATGCCAACACATAAACTATGTGCAAAATATTAAAATTAAAATGTTTCATTTGTTTTAATTTGATGTTATTAAATAATGTTGATTTCTTGATCACTGCAGAAGAGGTCTTCTTTCTTATCTGATGGCCATAAATAACTGAAAAACAATGTAAAATAATATATAAAGTCTATACAAGAATTGTGATGATGGAGCCAATAAGTTGTTTGCACACAATATCACACTGAAATACAATATTCCTAGTATCAGTATCCATTTTCACTAAACTCCGTGGAAGAGTCCTTGCTGAAAACAATACCACTCAGCTGGTAAAGAAATTTTAAGTCTTTTATGAAACCAGATAGTTCATTAGTGTCTTCACAAAAGCTTCTGCTGGACCCTTTCCTACACCAGACAAATCAAGTTCACACTATAATACCATGCTTCTTTATGATCCACTTTATATTATCCTATTGATTACTCTCTTCAACTTGGACTTTTGACTACAATTTTGTATGCACTCCCTACCTTGCTCACAGTCACTATCCTTACAGCTTGAAAAATAAGCAATTTTTCCAGTGTAAAGTTACAAATAAAAATAACAAGCCAAGGGGTTAAATCCATAAAACAAATTACACAAACTATAACCTCAAGGAGCCTTTTATTTGTTAACTTAAAATTTTTAAGATCACTTTGGGCTTGGCATAATACAGAGAACTGTGACTGACAGAAAATCCTGAGATTTTAAACGTAATATAACTATAAATGTAAAAAAGCACAAGTGAATTGAGAGAAAAGAGCTGAACTCAAATATTTAGCAGCAGTATTACCTTGATTCACTGCAATATGTCTCTTCTGAACTCCTATCATTATCAGCTTCTTCAGTATATATGCATTCTTTCTCTTGACTGTCACTATTCTCATCGACTACTTCTTTAATGTGTGCCACTGATGTCTTCTCTGCAGTATCCTGAAATATAACTGGAGCCTCTATCAATTCAACATCCATGCATTCCACCTTTGGGCTGTCATTATTGTGGCCCACTTTTCCTTCTACCTGAGTCTCCAGTAACGGTTCTGTAATATACTGAGAATTAGCTGAAGGCTCCTGCTGTTCCTCAGCTTCCATATCTACAGTCTTCTGTTCCTGAATGTAAGTACTGCCTTCTGCTTCTCCATCCCATACCATTTCAGTGGATTCTGCTTCAGCTTTCTTGGGTTTAAAGAATGAGTTGGTAACTGCTTCAGTTTCCTTGCTCTCAGAACCTGATTCTACACCATTATTCACTCCATGCTTCAAAACTTGTGGTATCTCTCTCATCGACACTGACTCTGTTTTTGCGAGTGTGTCTTCAGAAGCTGATGGTACAATTTCGGTTACCTCAACCTCTGGAGCTGACACCACAACTTCAGTACTTTCACACTTTGAAACAGATTCTGTATTATCAATTTCTGTATCCCCAGATTCACGCTTCTTTTCTTCAGCAGATGACTCAGTAACTCCAGCTGCCCTGCTCTCCAAATTAAGGCCCTTTTTATTCTTATCCATACCTGCCAATTATGTCTTTACAATTTTCCACCTAATAAATAGAATACAAAATAAATTATTAGTTAATAGTCACATTAGTTCCCTTTACTTCCTTATCATCTACTTCTTCTACACATACAATTCCCTTCTACTTCTTATTATAGCCATGCTTTCAGGTTCAAGAATTTTCTGTTTGTGGTTTTGCTAATTTGTAATCAAGCTCTCAACAACAGCTTGTCAAGTATTCTGTTGGAAACATTTTCTATGGTGCATATTTACAAGTTTCACACAGCTTCTGAGCATCCAAACCACATGTGTTACATCAGTCCACCTCAGTTTGAGCCTCAATGATGAACTGGCAACATCTTGTGAAGCTTAGCAATTTTCTTTCTGGATTTTCCACATAGCAATTTCTCTAAAGAGAAAATAGCTCATGTCAGCAGTACATGTGGGAACACAGAAGCTGTGAAGAGAGAAGATAACACATAATTCATTAAAAAAACAGTAACATAAATGTATCAGATTCAGAGGCCTCTGGTGCTCCTCCAGGTGTCATCCAGAATGGTCTGCTGTGCTGGAAAGCTCAACTGGTCACCACAGTTGTATCCAATTTAGAAATACAGTGGCATTATCAAAGCTTCCCCATTACACCTGCAAAGCCAGTATGATTAACTCACACAATAACTTCAAAAGGGGGGAAGCTCCCACATAAGCCCAGCCTCAGACTACTTTACATATGCTTAATTCAGGAGACAAAAGAATGCCACCATATACAACCCATAGGCTCCATGCCAGAGCCAAGAACAGATACATCAACTCCTTAGTTTGATTTTCAAACTCCCCATTTTTGGGCCAACTTCCTCTTACACCTCACCATTCCCACACCTGTTTACTCTTTTCCTTCTGCAGTGGCCCTTAAAAGGGCTATGCTGCATTTGCGGTTGACAACACAGCCCCTTAAACGGGGTGCTACCACCCCAAAACAGGTACCCCGTTCCCAAAATCGGTTATCCCATGTATGAGAGAAGGTAAGTGTAACTCTTCCAAAGTGCTTACAGAAGTAAATTATGTGCATAGTGAATTTCCACGGTTAGATTTGAACAGACTATTTTAAGCGGACACTTAAAAATCAATATTCAATCGGTACCGGCTAAGATACAAAAATGCAAATACAACCACGATTCCCTTTCCAAGTTAGAACTTGTATGCTCAGCGTGTCGTACCATACCTTCAACACTTATTAACCTAAATCAAATTCATATACAACAAGTACTGAAGTTTTAAACACACTACAAAATATATTTTGCTTCTCAGTAGACTGGAAATTCATGTAGCTTCCTGTACGTCGTAACACCACACACGTTTCCATGTCCACCGCCACCTTCAAACCGCCAAAATCAGAACATCAGAATCACGGATAAACGTAAGACAGACGTGCGTCTCGCTCAGTACCGATAAATAAGAATAGCTTCCGCGATATCCACGATCGTCCACGATGAACTGTGTCATTGATCGTATATGCTGAAGAAAACTAATGCCCCCCTAATAGGACACCCCCCGTTTCCTGGTAAGAAGACTGCATACTCCGAGGAAGCTGAAAGCTACTCCAGCACCTCCAGCAGGAGTGTAATCAGAACCAGATGAGGCGTGTCCCTCAGAAAGGGGAGTCCTGAGCTTCCTGAGGACTCACCACCAACCCACCTACAGAGGTAAACCTAATAGAGGATCTCGGCCTTCTAGGTTGAGGGGTTATACAGAGAGTTGGTTGCCCCTTCACAGAAAATTGTACATGCTCTTATATGCGCAAGCTGGTATTCAAAGATGCTGAAGCAGGCCATCGACCAATTCCTTGAATTGGAGAAGAAGAAGAAGAAGAAGAAGACAAACCTATTGGTTATGGATATATGACGTCACCTGATATCTCCGACCATCTCTGAACCATTGGTTAAGGCAAGTAGTGACGGCAGTGACCCTACAGGATATTACGGAAGGCACGTAGCTGAAGAAACTGCCAGGTGTGCTGCCTATTGTTTATAGTTCTAGGAGCAGAATATTTTAAAAGTGAAACGAATGTAGTGGTAATCCAGTTTGCAAGGCATTGGTTTGAGAACGTACATTTCTTATCCGTGGCATATTCGACGTAACCGCGCCTCATGGGCATTTGCTGATTGGGCGAAATGAATTACATCATTGTCTTGCGCTCCTGAGGAAGTGTACGGGTGTTTGATAGTGACAGATAATGGATTAATGAAAGATAAGAGTAATTGTTTCTTGTTAGAATTTCAGCTTGTGACGTCATTAAACCACTACCGTTGGTTGTGACTGTTGTGAAGCATCAAAAATGTCTGGTTTTGAGGAAAACCCCTTCGGGGAACCAACTGTGGATAATCCATTTGCGGTAAGCGGTAACAATGTTAACTTATGTTGGTTCAGCTTTCTTTTCATATTTTCTTGAAGTTTACTATGACACTGGCACTCGAAAACAGGAACTTGACCGAGAAATATAATCATGAGCCCATATTGTTTACAGGATCCTGCTATTCAGCAAGTTACCACAAATACGAGCAATGCTCAGAGGGGACTTGAAGATTATAACCCATTCGCAGATCAGGGTGATCAACGGCCAGCTGCTGTGAGATATAAACCTGATTATTAACATAGTATTATAAACAATTTTAAAAAATGTGTAGATTAAATACGTTGTAATATCTTGATATTGTAGCTTTTAGGCGACACTCCACAATATTTTTGTTAGGCTTATCATGTTAGCCGTCCCTCAAAACATGATTAGGACAATTTGAATTTGTGTACATTCCATAAATCCAAGTACAGGTTGACAACATAGAATATGGAACAAGTCAAGTAAAAAACATAAAATCTGCAGAGTAGTAGTTTTGCTTGAAAAGTTAATAAGATTATAATACAATATTAATATTACCATGCTAATTGGATACATACAGCACAGTCTGCAAATAAGCAAAATGATATAGTAGAATGTTTGGGAATACACATTAGCTTAGAATTGATACTAGTTACTCTTTGTTTACATTGAAATGTTCATCTATGGAGTGAAGGAGTGAGTAAGTAACATTTCAATGCTGTTTTATTGCTTAATATTACCAGTTGCTTTTTTGGACTCCAAGGGAGGCTGTTGAACATTTTGATGCCGAAGGAGTGAACTCTTATTTGATATAAGGACAGATTTGCTGAATGTTTGTGGAAGTAGAGTTTTTGCCTTGTATTTATGTTATGGATGTCAGAATTTAAATTGTACATGCTTTTGTTGTCTGCCACAAATAATAGGAGTGAGAATATGTATTGTGATTGAAATGATAACATTTATAAGTTTTTATAAATAAATCTTTGCAAGAATCTCTGTTCTTGCTTGCTTGATAATTCTAATTACCCTCTTTTGCATTTTGAAGATTTTAGTGCTGTCTGTAGATTTTCCCCGGAATATTATTCCGTTTGACATAGTGGAGTGAAAGTAGGCATAGTAAACCATTTTCAATACTTCATGAGACATGTAGGGTTTAGAAGATCTGAGTGCATAACAAGCTGCACTTAGCGTTTATAGTACCTGCTCAGTATGTAATTTCCAAGACTGTGTACTGTCTGTAAGTTCCAAGGAATTTTGTGTCATGTGTTCTACAGATTATTTTATTAGCATAGCTTACTTACATCCAGGTTAATTTGGGGTCCATTCTTAGTTGTAAATGGTATTAGGTGGGTTCCCCCCCCCCTCCCCTCCAAAATTTAAGGAAAGGCTGTTGGCTCTGAACCATTTATTTAAGTGTTCAAATACGGTTTTTATCTCACGTATAAAATCTGTGTGATTAGCATTGGTAACTGTTATACTAGTATCGTCTGCAAGCAGAATTGGTTTAGATTTATTCTTAACAAAGTCTGATAAGTTATATGTATAGAGAAGAAAGAACAAAGGGCCTAGTATGGATCCTTGTGGGAATCCATGCTTTATTTTATCCTATTTTGAAGCTATCTGATGACTGAAGTTTATGTTCACTAACTTCATTAGCAGGTTAGATTACTTTGTGTTAGGTATTGTAACTATAAAGAAAATTTAAATTGTGGGTGCATGTGATCACATTGCGAATGTATTTATGATTTATTTAATGATGCCATCAGTAGCTCAGAGTATGTAGTGCTCAGTGATGAATATATTAGTGAATAACAAATTTTAAATGATGTGGAAGCCAGTTTTTATGGCTTTTTTTTTTGGTAATACCCTTGTATTTGCCTGGAAGAAACTCACAAAGAACCTGTTGTATCTGAGTAGAGATTTGAACCCAGAATCTCTTGAACATGAAGCAGGAGAGCTACCCACTTCACCAGAATTTTGATCGCAAAATTGTTTGATCATTGTAATTTTGAAAAGGATGGGCCTTACAATTTCTGGCAACCTGTTAAAATCAGAGGAATACAAATATTCAGATTATGGAAGTACACTGCATGATGACCACATGTAGATGTATGTTCAGTACATCGTGGGGTTTAGTGTTTCTAAGGTGTAATTCATTGATTGGCATATGTGTTATGATACTGTGGATTACAAACTTCTGATTCAGAATTTTTGTTACAACTACAAGTTAATGTCCATAGAAAACATTTCTTTTGTTTATAAGTATTCTTTCACTGTTTTAAGGTAATCTAAATCCAGTTTACTGTGTCTGGTGTCATGTTCATGCTAAAACAATTGAAATATACAGGCACATGTGATAATTCCTTGTAATTCTCAGTGTAAGCAAGTGCAGAAATATTTCGGTATGAATAACAAGCAGAACAAAGTTACACCCCTGCTATACAAGCTAAAAGTTTGGAGGGTGGGAGGGAGACATGTTCAGAAGATTTAAGGGAATAGAGCATGCTGCGAGGGAGTAGGTCACGGGTTCAAGTCCTGATGTGGTCATTTGATTTTTTCAGTTTACCTAATCCTTTCAGCCCCACTATGGCCCTGGGGTTGACTCAACCTCTAACAGAAATGAGTACCAGGAATTAATTAAATAATTTTCCTGGGGAGTAAAGTGCGGCCGGTGCATAAGGCTGACAACCTTACCGCCATCTTTGAGCCGATTGTCTAGATAATGTGGGACCCACAATATCTCACAACCCTATGGGCCTTCACGGCCTGGTACAGGGATAGCTTTACTTTTTTCTTTTTCTGTTTAAGTAGAAAATGAATGTCATTCAGTAATGCTCATATGTTTCATTGAGCAGATTGGAATCTTTCATAACTGTCACACTTTAAAAGAAATCCTGATTTATTCTCTCCTGATCTTTGTTATTTATGTCATTATATACAACATTTGGTTGCTATTTAAGATATTTGTAAAATTACAGTATGAAATGTAACACAGATATTTCACAATTGCACAATTGAACAGATTAGTGAAAACGTATGTGATTGTGAAAGAACTAGGTTTTAGACTTTGGGGTTATGTCAGTGCAAGTAACATCAAAATGGAGCTTAATTGTGATTCATTTGAAATTGTGAGGGATGGAGGTAACAGTTAAGTATCAAATAGACCAAAGTTTGTAAAACTAAAATGATGCTTATATTGCACATATTTTTGGGCATTATGAGTCCTTAGCTGCCTGTTTATGCTGTGGTCTTTCTGATAAATTCCCACACATTTCTCTCACTTTGCATCTATCAGCTGGTAACAGCCTAACTTCAGCTGAGTGCTACCAGTTAATTCCAGTTGGTGTTCAGAATCACTCACCAAGAACAGTAAAAGCAACTTTGATTGATGCTGAAAACAGTCCCTATACATCCACTCATTCTCTATATAATTTAAACAGTTGAATTTGTTAAGGAAAGCTCTTTATGAGTATTTTTTTAAAGTTGTGCCTTATTTGGTTGAAGTTTAAGTTATTTCATTGATTTTTGCTATTGATTATGAAATGCTATTCTTCTTTGCTTTTATAATCTTATGTCTGTAACAAATTTCACATGCCTAGGTCCAGTAGTTCATCAGTTATTGCTGTCAAGCCAGAAGCTAAATACACTGTATGCAGCTGCCATTTTGTTTTGCAGACAACAGAAATGTTACCTAGTCAGAGTTTTATACTGTTTGAACATTTGTTATCATATATAACATCAGGATCCAAGATTGAGTGACAGTCACATTGGTCCCACTTCACAAGTTCATGGTCAGCCATGTTCTGTTACTGATTGTATTAAATTAAACTATGATGTTGGGGTGTATGTGCTGGTATATATTTATGTCAGTTTTCATGAAAATTGATTAGTTCAGAGGTTGACATGGGACACATGTGAAACAGGTTGGTTCAGCAATAATACTCTGCACTTGTTTTGGGAGGAATCCTTGTGGGACACTGGCACTGGATTGCACATTTCTAATCATGTTTTATTGTTAATTAACACATCATTTTCAACTGTACCATTATTTTCTTGTGCAGGTGCGGGGTGCATCTAATCCTCCACAGTACCAAACGATGCCCACAATGCCCATAGCACAGCCTGCAATAATGCAGCCTACACAAGAAATCCCACCACCACCATACACCAGGACTGGACAGCAGCAGCAGCAGCCGCCACAAGCTCAACAGCAGTTCAGTACAGCAGAATTTCAGGTAATGGGCTTCAAGACATGAGAACTAATATGTTAAATAGTCAAACGGTTTTCTTCACATTAAATCAGTAAAAATATCAGTAGCTTGTTAGTGTGTTGGTTTTTCCTTTATATGGAATTCTTTATTATAGAGAGTTTCATAACACAGCAGTTCTACTGCATTTATGATTTGTTACCATTTCACCATTTATGAAACTGAAAAGTGACACTATGATTTTCATTGTCCCTATATTGTTATTTTTGCCTTTAGATAAAAATGGCCATAATATAATCACAGATAACTACATGGAAGAGAGATTTTCTTGAGATGCTATTAATTGTTATGTGAAGTGTTCCTTCAGCAGTACTGTAACTGAATATTTTTGTTTTCGCAATGCCTGTGATTTTCTTTAAATTATCCTTTCCTCAGTGGAAAGCAGTGACTGTTCTAATGTCCTTAGAATCTTGTTCAAGGAAGAAACAATATTGAGCTGGTCACTTTTAAAATTGTTTAAGCCCTCCTTTACTTTTTTTGTCATATTCTGAGCTCAAAGAGGGAATTCTTTATAGGAATGTTCGTAGTAGGTTTCCTACATTCATCAAAGATTCTTGTCCTATCTGAATACTAGGTACCTTTATTACTGTTCAATGCACCACAGGTCTTAGTAGTTTTAAAACATTAGGTTCGTTGACATTTGTAACACATGCAGCCATTTTAAACTTGGCAAAAATAAAAACAAGTTTTTCACTTGACCAGAGCTTATACAAATTTGTGGACAAGGAAATATGACTTAGCTCTACTGGCATCAGGTATAAACTGAATGACTGGATGAGTTGTGATGCCCTGAAGCACATCTGCGCATGTCACAACATGGCTCATCTTGCCTAATCATAGCAGTAGCCAACAGAATATTGTATCTTCTCATCACTTTTACATCCCTGCATAATACCTTCCAGAGGTGAATTCATGTGGTCACAAAATGTGTGGAAAAAGTTTCTTAGATCCGGTGTACATTTCTTTATGAACTAAGGTCAAAAAGGCAAGATCAGAATGTTAATATGCTGTAAAGCACTGAGTGGTTTACCAAATGAAAGTCCCATTTGAAAGCTTTCAACTAATGGACAACTGAACTCTCTGTCTTAACCTTTCTGAGCCGGGCCGTTTAAATTCTGGTAATGGCCGTGGGCCGGAGTTAATTTAAATGCCCGCCATTGTAGAGTAATAAAAATTGTAATCATGTTACTGAAAATGCTGTGATTTCTACAATTTTTGTGATAAACGAATGAAATAAACGCTGCTTTTATCTAGAAAGAATATAGAATCAGGTATTGTAATTTACAAATTTTAAAATCTATAAAAATTGTTACATTGATTTAAAAAAATTTTCCCAATTTCGAACGTCTCTCCACAAATATGCCTTCATTTTCTGCACAAAACCTTTCTGCATTATACATGCCTGCTGCTGACATCAGTTTTAAATTATAAGATTTTGAAGTTTGCATAGGTAGATTGGATGTAAATTCTGTTCCATTAATTTTTTCGCCTGTTTCCATCTTTGCATTTGACAAGGAATTAAAGGTAAGAGGTATTTATAAATAATACCTTTGAAACATTATTGCTGTATACACAGTTAAAACCTGAACTTAGTTGTTAGCACAATAGACAAGAGTACGTCTAATTTAGTCTATTATTAATGTGGAGAGAGCTCATTTCATCTACACAAGTACTGTATATGAAAATCTCCTTTTTTGTCAACTTTGTCCACAATTTTATGTTTTCTCTTAATAGCCTTTGTCAGTATAGTGCGGTCACATTTTATGTGAACTTGAAATAGTGCAGTATAAAAAATAAAATCTTACTGTATGCGCAAAGTTTGAAATAACGAGAATCCCAAGAAATGTTGCAAGAATTACATATATGTTTCAAAACTTGTCTTGGCTTGAATTGTGTGAGGTCCTCAGGAATACATCTCTCGCATAAAATGTGACTGTACTGTACTTGATACAATGATTTCTTCCTACTAACAAAGCTTTTGGAGTTTGTAAAGAGAAAGGGGTTAAGTTACACTTCTTTGGATTTCTTTTATTCTCTGGCATGTAATAAATTATAAATTATTTTTCCAATTTTTCTTTGCCTCTGATGTTAAGTTTTTCTGAAGAGAAAATATTTTATATGTTAAAAAAATATTTGGCAATTTGTTCTGCATTATATTTTCCAACTTAAGTAATTGCTGTTGAATCATTTTTCTTCATACAATAGTTTAAAGTAATTTCCCTGGTCTTGGTCTTTTGATTAAAGATATGTACTAACATTTGTCTTGAGGGCCCTGTTTTGAGTGATTAGTAAAAGTAAAATAAACTATCCCTGTAACAGGCTGTGAAGGCTCATAGGGTTGTGAGACGTTGAGGGTCCCACATTATCTAGACAGTCGGCTCAAAGATGGCGGTAAGGTTGTCAGCCTTACATGCCAGCTGCACTTTACTCCCCAGGAAAATTATTTAATTAATTCCTGGTACTCATTTCTGTTAGAGGCTGAGTCGACCCCAGGGCCATAGTGCAGTCAATTGAAAAAATCCAATGACCTCATTGGGATTTGAATCTGTGACCTTCCGGCTTGTAGTATAGTGCCTCAGCCAACTACACTACCCCCCCCCCCAATTTACATTTTAATGTATCCTTATAGTGTAAGGCATGATTGGGTAAACTTTCTGGCTGGTTTTTCAATTGTGGTACTATGTCTAATATAGTCTCTATTGAAAAAATCATGTATAGTAAGTAATACACTGATTTCACTCTGTTCAGCGACGACAAGAGGAGCTGGAACGTAAAGCTCAGGAACTTGCCAGAAGAGAAGAGGAGCTTAAAAATGCACCTTACAATGGTAAAGTATGGTCAGAACAGAAGATTGTTGGTTTGTACGAGCTTGTGGTAAAAGTGTATTAAAGTTCATTGTTGGCAGCAGTACTTGTATATTTGTGCTTAGATAGAGAATTAGAGACATGTAGAATCTGTTAAGAGCATGTATATGGAAGATTTGTTTTACTGTTTTTGTGTCTTGCCAAAGTAATTTAGTTTACATTTTTTTTTATTGGTGGTTGGTTGGGACTAAGTCCCTTGTACTGCAGCCATTGTACCAGCCCCAGATGATAGGTGAGGGTGATTGTGGAGCAATTGGTGGAATGATGATTGGCAGGGGAAACTGAAGTACTCGGAGAAAACCTGCCCCAGCACCACTTTGTCCACCACATATCCCACTTGCCCAGACCCGGGATCGAACCCAGGCCGCCATGGTGGGAAGCCAGCGAGTAACTGCTTGAGCTATGGTTCAGCCTAGTTTGCATATTAGAGAATAAAATTTAAAGAGAAACATTATTTCTTAACCCTTTTGCTCGGTCATTTAAATTCCGCTGCCGTGTCTCTCCGGCGGTAATATATTCAGCCGTCCATTTAAATTTTGCTCGAAAATGATTTATTCATCATTGTTCTTAAATTATATGAGATAGGAACATGAAACTTTCACTAAAATGATCTTAAAAGGTGGTTTTATAACCTTGCCTTATAATATGAGCGCCCGGTATCTCGGCAATGGAAGCAGTTGGTTTAGAATTTGAGCAGTGTATCGTATGAAACTTTCACTAAAATGATCTTAAAAGATGGTTTTATAACCTTGCCTTATAATATGAGTGCCCGGTATCTCGGCAAAGGAAGCAGGTGGTTCGGAATTTGAGCGGAGTGTGGTACGCATTGAAGCATTCTACTATACACAGCGCTGTCTCACATTCACCACACCAGTACTGCGTATCTCTCATTTGGCTCTTTTTTCTGTAAACCATACATCTTCTGTGCGGCCTTGCCTTCTTCCCCGTGGGGTGAATACAAGAATTAATGTCTCTCCATGAGTCATATCGCTAGCCAGATTAGCTGCAGTAAATTCAACCTTTATGTTATCATAACAAGTGTTGGTGCTTCTGCGTTTCATTTTCCATCCATTTTGGCGGCGTAAGACGTAGGGGTGACCACAGAATACATGAAGTTATTCTAAGAACTGGCTGGTATGTAGTGAACGAAAGCAGAACTTAGCTGGCTCAAAAAAATATTTGTGGTCATCCCTCGAAACGACCACCAAGGTCAGTACGATAAAATGGAGTCAACTGGAGCGATAATACATGAGGAATGAGTTCTTTTCCCTCCCCCACACACACCCATATTGTCACGGGGTGACCACAGTGTTCTGCCTTAATTTGTGGCGTTTTTCTAAGAACTGGCTGCCATGTACTGTGCGAAATCAATCGATCTTGCAAGAATAAAATTTGGACATCCCTCTTCTAAGAATTCCAAGTGAGTGTGTTAGTGTGGCCAGCTCAGGGCAATATGATATTATAAACACAGCACATATCACGTCTCTGCTGTTTATAACTTCATAGGAAAGAAAACACGCCATTCATGACAGTTTGAAGGAGTAAACCACTACCAGAAGCAACACGATTTTGCTGCAAGACAGGCATATGTAACGATGACTTAGCGCAGCTAAACAAATGCCACATTAGATACGGTTCTCCTGACAACAGGCCAGCGAAAAATCTAACAATCTACAGCAAAACGATCAATTATTACGGGCGTTATAACATAGGTGTGCAGCTGGACGAAACATAGACGTCGAACCCCCGCAGACGATTTAAATACCTTGACGAAACATACACGTCAAACCACGCTGAACGGTTAAGCATAGTATAAGCATGTCCGTCCATGTAGTAAATATTGTATCAAATGTGGTATGTACATTCTGGATCAAAAGTAGTGATTATAGGAAGTGATTTTGTATCATTTGTAATGGTGAGTGATTGGTTTTAGAGCTAAGAGAAAACCTAGTACCACATTTTGAAGACTTCTTTTCTAATGAAATGTGTATAAAAGATGGTGTTTTATGCCAATATTTTTTATCATGCAGCTTTCACAGTCTTCTGAATTTTGAATTTCAGTTACTGAATTAATTTTCCTATTTATTATTGGCAAAAACTGTGCATAAGTAACCTGCCTGTCTCACCTTAAAAACTTGCCTGTATACCTTAAACACAATAGCTGATTTTAGCCCGTTGCCGTGGTTCGTCGTGTATGTTTCGTCAGGGATTTAAATCGTCTGGGGGGGTTCGACGTGTATGTTTCGTCCAGCTGCACACGTATGTTATAACGCCCATAATAATTGATGGTTTTGCTGTAGATTGTTAGATTTTTCACTGGCCTGTTGTCAGGAGGACTGTATTTAATGACACACGCGTTTAAGAGCGCTAAGTCGTCGTTACATATGCCTGTCTTGCAGCAACGTTCCTGTGGCTATTGCGAGCTGTT